TAGTGCCCGTTCCGCTTCGGAAATACGTCTCCCAGTCAGAAGTATTCTGACTTTCCCCCCATATACCCGTCGGCAGTGCAGCACCAGATCGTTGTTTTTGTCCCGCGTCCGATTTCCCTGTGCCGCCTCATGTATGGCGGCGTCCCCAGCTCCATCAATGACCGCCATCGGCATCCATATCTATCACCTGCCCCCGCGCTCGCCGTCATTACTCGCGCCCCCTTTGCTCCTGCCTTTCCGCATCCCACAATCTCGCCATCGCCCATAGCCTCGTATGCGCCGCTTTCATTCATACTCGATAACGACGCCGCTCCAGCACCGCGCCCACTCGTATCGTTCCAGCACTGCGCCAACCCCCCTATGTTGTACGCGTTCGGGTGTGTTGCGGGCCACGATGTCGATGGTGCCTGTCGTGAAAAACGCATGGCGCCGTCCGCCTAGCAGCCGCGTCATCAGCAAGGGTCCGGATCCGGCCGTCAACGACCACTGCCTGCCACCCGGCGATCTCGATGAATATCGCGCATCGCCTTGACCGACATTCAAAAACATCACATGCAGACGGTCGTCGTTCGTAGCGGCGCCTGCTACCACCCACCGTGACGCTGCACACGCGGCGGGTACAAGCAGCCATATAGCGATGCGCCCGAGAGGGGACGTTTCGCAAACAATGCTGAGAACTCCCACGCACTCGTTGTGAGATTGTCAGGACCCACGCTCCCAACATAGTCCTTCATCGTTCGCACTTACGCCGGAAACATTACCCTGATGCCGTATGCCAGCAGAAGGGCGCTGTAATAAACCGACGACCCGCTGCCCCAGCTATATTGCCGAATGTCAACCGAAGCCCCCGTCGCCTGCCAAGAACGTAACCACTCCTGATAGGTAGCCCCCCCCCCGCGCCCCATGCCACCACAGCCAGCCGAACGGCAGCGCGAGCGTTGAACTTTCCGAGCCCTACAGCGCCGCGCCAGCGCTTACCAGATTAGAATGGCAAGACAGGCAGTGTCAAAGACATAAGGCAGGTACTGTGCCCAGCGGTGGACACTCGCTCGAATGAAACGCAATCACCGGCATCGTGGTAATTGTTTTGCGGCAAGAGACACGGTAAGCATAATTTGCAGCAGCACTGAACGGCGTGTACAGCGTGACGCCCACCCAATTCGCGCTCGTATGGCGACCTTTCCCGGTCCCCGAACGCTCCAAAACGCCGCTATGCTGCTATCTCCGCGAAACTTAGCTGAAAGATATGCTGTACCGAGATGGATGCGACACGGCAACATCAGCGCGGCTAGCGAGACAACCAATTGGCGCAGCGAGGACCCGCGCTGTGTCCGATGCCGACGCCAGCGATGCATGATCGACGGCTGCCCATGATGCAGCCCTCGTCACACCCGATGGGGACAAGTGCCCGCCAGCAGCGTCTAACCGATGATTGATGATATAGGCGCTTCAGGTGAAGATGTTGCTTCCTGCCAAGAAGCGTCCGGCAGATCGGCGAGGCTGATGCCGAGCAGAGTACATGCCCACAAGTGCAGCCTCAGATATTGCCAGCAGATGCGCTGTTCCCGTCTGCCGGAAACGCCTCATAAAATCAGTCTTGCGGGATGCTTCCGCGCGCGTTCCAGCAGCGTCGCCTGCCCGAGAGCAGCCTGCGGTTGTGCCGCGCACAACGCGCAGCGCAATGGACGCCGCAAGCCGCCGCTGAACCCGAACAGCGAGCGGATAGTAACCACGCTGTCCCCTCACCCGCGCGCGATCAGCGTAACTCTGCGAGAAAGATCGCATCCGGAACCTCACGATGCCCTGTCGCGCCAGATAGTGCCGCGTAAGTCGAACCCGTCCAGTCTGCGCGTTCGCTAATGCGCCTTCACACTCGCAGTTTATCGAGGCCATAGCGTAAGTACGGGCGCTTGCCGCTGCTGCGCTATCTCAGTGTGGCGCGGAAGCGCACGATACAGCAACACCCCAGCACCGGGCATCCCACTCGCCGCCGCCCGCGCGTATGCGCTCTAATCCCCATCGAAAACGAGGCGCAAAGTTCGCCTCATCGCCTCACATCGCTCAGCACAACGCATCAACCCCTGTTTTCGACCTCGGACTTGCTAGGTACATGGGCCCTGAGGGTACATTGGCATCCCGGCGTCGCCTATCAAGCGCCAACGCGCAATACTCCGATGATGAATGCGAGCGCGATCAGCGACAGTCCCAGGGCGACCAGGCCGCAATGCTTGCGAACAACAATGCGCCGAGCACTGCCAGCGAGGGGGCGAACAGAACAGCGCGACTAACGGCGCTGTCCCCGCTAAGCTCCGGGGGCAAGAAGCGTCCACCCACGAACGCGATGGCAAGTCGACAAGTAGTTTTCTGGACTAGGTTTTCTATTGCATTTGATAAAAGGTTTTGGACCCGAAAAGTAGCAATTCTGTTCATTGAAGGTGTTCCTACCTGTCATTCGAACGCCCGGGCTTCGCCCTGTATTCTGAACACAGCGCCCCTTACTTGTCATTCTGAAGCAGAGCAGCGGTGTGTGAGAATCTTAATCGTCGCACATACGCCATTTAAAGAGTTCAGATTTCTCGATTCGCTCGTTAATGACATGGAAAAATGGGAATGGTCAACACAACCTATGTTATGTTTACATTTGATACAAAGGCGTTTTGCTGACACCGATTTTCCGAAAGCATCTGCCATGAAAACCCTAAACCCGCGATTACACGCTCCTATCCCGCCTTCTGTGCCTCCAGATGGTCTGTTTCTCCACTTGACCCCCTCACCTGTCGAAGGTCACTGACTGAACTACTGAAAGAAAGTGTGCATTAGTGTTCCCTTCCCCCCCTCTATGGGGAAGGTTAGATGGGGGTGAAAAGGGCTTTCCCATCGCCGCTTAAACGGTGGCTATTGCAATTTTCTCTGCTGACTTCCCCCCTTGGGACACCCAAACACGCGCCCGGTTACAATCAAACAAATGATTTCTCAAGCCCTGACAACTAAACACTGCTCTGACTGACGAACTGAAAGACCGACTGAAAAGAAGACGGACTAACGGATACAGAACCATGGTCACGTCACTACTGCACATACAACACCAAACAGGTGCCCACCATAGGCTTGCGGGAGTCCCGTACAGCGCATCGGTCCTTGAGGAAACCAAGGGCGGGGCAAGGCGCATCCGTCCTCAGCTCGTCTCCCATTATGGGAGGCGACGCGCCCGGCAGTCACCCCCTGGGCACCACTCGACGCCGCCAAGCTCCCTGCTGAGCCTCGGCTTCGCGGACGCTGCGCGCCACACCGGCGCATCCACAAGCAGGCGGAAGGCAGCGGCCCTCCAACGCCCCTTCTCCTTGGGTGGAAGGCGGGGATTGGGGTGAATGCCCACAAGTGACCAACAATCCATAACATCAACCCCGAGCAAATCAAGCTCGACAAGAAGCTCGTCGGACACATCCGCGTGCACCGGCGACGGCACATCGAATGGTCAAGTTCCTCATAGACGTCGTCGAGGGCACGAGCCTGCCGCAAGAGTCCGCGACATGGATTGAGGCAGCCAATGTGCTATAATGCATCTCGGCTTCGACCACCCGCTGCAGCCCGAGCCCTGAGTTTCCAATGATGTACTGTACGCGCCCTGACCACCCCGACTGCTCGTGCGCGTCTGCAGACCTCCCGAAGACCGCCAGGGCCCGCAGTCGAGTCGGGCAGCACACGCCTCTCCCACCGGGACGAGCAGCGCGAGCAGTGGGCAACGGAGCAGGAGATGATGGACGCGCAGCTGGAATCGGCGAGCTGAAATGAAAAAGCGGCACAGAAAGCCAGGCCGACAGGACTGGAAGCTCGCAGCAGTACCACTCCCTGCGATCACTGTAGTCGAAAGGCGCCTCGAAGAGAAGAACTGAACTCGCACACAGCGCGAACACAAGCGAGAACTTGAACAGGAGCGCGAACGAGAGCGCAAGCGAGAAATAGACCGCGAGAACAGGCAAGACCTGCAACAACAGCGCATCCGAGAAACGGAGCACATCCGCAGCCCCTAGCCCCTACCTTAACTCGTCATTCCTGCGAAGGCAGGAATCCAGAGGGGAAGGGTTGGGCAAAACCTGTCCATCCATGTCGGTTAAGACCCCGTTCGTGGCAACCTAGTCGAACACTTCTTTCCCGAGTTTGTGTCAAACCACTCTCTTTCCCACTGTCATTCCGAACGAAGTGAGGAATCTAGACTCGTTGCCTATCCACAACGCACAGTTTTTAGTTCATATTAGAGCGTGTTGACATTTGATACACACAGCGTTTTAGACTTGATAAGTAGATATAGGTTTATTCTGTCATTCTGAACACAGCGCCCCCTTACCCGTCATTCTGAACGGAACGCACGCTTACTCTGTCATTCTGAACGCAGCGCCCCCTTACCTGTCATTCTGAACGCAGCGCCTCTTACCTGTCATTCTGATCGCAGCGCAGCGGAGTGAAGAATCTAATTTCGTTGTACACACGCCATTCTCCGATTTTAGATTTCTCGCTTCACTGGAAGTGACAGAAGTAACGAAAGACAACCTCAAAATGTCAACATAACCTAGATAACCGAAAGACCCTGCCTACGAATCGACAACTAAACACTGACAACTGTGAACTGAAAACTCGCCTCCGTTTGACCGCCAATTACGGCTTGGCTATTATGGATACATGAAGACGTTACGCATCGCACTCATCACAACCTTAACGTTGACGCTTGCCGTCTTCGCTTTGGCATGCGCGCAGGATGACGCCCCCGAATCTGCGCGTCAGTTGTCCACCTTCTCGGGCGAGCCGGCTGAAAACCCCGCGCCCCAAATTCCAGCAGGCATACCCGACACTCCATACATCGCCCAGTCGCAGGCTTCGGCGCCCTGCATACGTCTCCTTCCCAGCCTGTCGGTTCCCTGGCGTCCTTGCCGTCAATTTCAAACCTCGTACACGAGATTGAGCCGGCGGTCGCTTCAATATCCGTGGAATCCATAAGCCGTGGCATGTTCTTCGACTTCACCGACGAGGGCGCAGGCACCGGCGTAGTCATCCGGCCCGACGGCTACATAGTGACCAACTTCCACGTAATACAGGGCGCGAACGACATACAGGTAACGCTCTCCAACGGCAAGACTTACGACGCCAAGATAGTGGGACACGACATCATCACCGACCTTGCGGTTGTCAAGATTGACGACGAGAATCTCGCCACCATCACAATGGGCGATTCAGATGCCATACATGTCGGCGACTGGGTGGTTGCTCTCGGCAACGCATTGGCGCTGAAGGGCGGTCCCACGGTCACACTGGGCATCGTCAGCGCGCGCGGCCGCACCCTCAGCACCGAGCGCGGCGACCTGTACGATCTCATACAGACGGATGCCGCCATCAACGACGGCAACAGCGGCGGTCCCCTCATAAACCTTCGGGGCGAAGTCGTGGGCATCAACACCGCCATAATACGCCGCGCCCAAGGCATAGGATTCGCCATCAGTTCCACCGCCGCAAAGCCGATAATCCAAAGCCTCATTGAGCACGGACGAGTCGTCAGGCCCCTTATTGGACTCACGGGAGCGGATGTTACCCCAGCCCGCGCCAACCAACTCGGACTCAATGTTGACGAGGGCATAATCGTCACCCGCATGACGCTCGACGGTCCCGCCTACGTCGGGCGGCATCCGCGTGGGCGATGTCATCACAAAGCTCAACGACATCCCCACCTCTGACATGGCGCAGTTCCTCACCCTGCTATGGACTTTCGAGATCGGGCAGGAGATTCAGATCGAGTACATCCACGAGAACGAAACGCAAGTGACTACCGTAATTCTGGCCGAGAGGCCCTCTTTATAGTAGGAATACGTCATAGATAATAGGAATGCGTTGCTGGCGAGTCTTGCATTTCGTTTAGAACTTTGTGTCAAGCAACTCTTTGGCTCTCGCCCTGGTTTCCGGCGACACACGAGCTGCCTGACTGATGATGGTCAAGGCGTCCTTTGCCCGTCCCGCTCTAATGATGGTGCGAGCTCTGCTTACGCGGATAGTACTCACGCCCTTCGTATAGTTTTGCATAAGCAGCTCAACGACCTCTTTGTTGGACAACGAAAAGTCGGCAAACTCGCAGTAGTACTCTACAAAACACGTCTTGCCCATCGAATTTAGGGCATCGCTCAATTGATAGTCATGCATGACGCTCCTCCGTTCAAGTGGCACTCTCCGATATGTTGGTCAGTTGCGTTGTCAGTTGCGTTGGTCTTCGAAACCCGCCACTCCTGCAGAGCCTAGTCCCGCGGAACGGAGACTTCCTGCGTGAGAGCGTCGATAGGCTACCCAACCTCTCCCACTACCACCGCAACCATCCCCATTCCCAGGCTGCGCTGCCACACATCGCGCAGGCCTGCATCCTCCATCGCCTCAACCAACTGCCTCGCGCTCAGGAACTCGTCAACGGACTGCGGCAGGTACGAGTATGCCTCGCTGTTCCCTGCCAACGCCGCGCCAAGCAGCGGCGCGACCCTTTGAAAGCACCACGGCACAGGCGATTATGCGGCCCCCTGCCCTCCATGCGCACGATTTCCAGCACCACCACGCGACCGCCCGGCTGCACCACCCGCGCCATCTCGCTCAGCGCGCGCGGCACATCAATGAAGTTCCGCACGCCAAAGCCCACAGTGACGCACACGAAGCTATCGTCCACGAACGGCAGCGCATGCGCATCCCCCACAGCAAAGGTCGTATGCGCGCCCAGACCCTGCCGCGCCGCCTTGCCCTTAGCAAGCGTGAGCATCTCCGGCACGAAGTCCAGCCCCACCACGTGCTCGACATTCGGTTTGCGAGCAACATCGAACGCAAAGTCTCCCGTCCCGCAAGCCACATCCAGCGCCGCGCCGTTCAGACCTGTGCCGACTGCGGTGTACGCGGCGAGTCGCCGCCAGTGCGTAGTGCATGCCCCCCGTCATCACCGTGTTCAGCAGGTCGTACCGCCGCGATATGCGCCCGAACATTCGGCTCACATAGCGCGCCCGCTCTTCGCCGCGCAGCCTCGCCACTAGCCGCCATTCCCTTCGCGCAGCGCCCTGCCCATACGAAGCTCCTTGCCCAAGCGCAGCGCCTTGATTGTAAGCGGCAGCTCCGGCAGCAGATCGCTCGCAACCATGCCCGTATCGCCCAGCCTGTCGCATACGCGCTCGCCAGCCAGCCCGTGCAAATATACGCCAAGCAGTTGCGGCGCCTCAAGCGGCACATCCTGCGACAGCAGCCCCGCGATACTTCCCGCCAACACGTCACCCGTCCCAGCCGTGGCAAGGCCGGGGTTGGCGAACGGTGACAGCATCGTGCGCCCGTCCGGATAAGCAACGACCGTGTGTGCGCCCTTCAGCACGACAATCTTGTTCCAGCGCGCCGCCGACTCAACCGCAATGCCGATGCGATCCGCCTGCACATCGCTTGTGCTTTTGCCCGTAAGCCGCGCCATCTCGCCCGGATGTGGCGTCAGTATCGCCATGCCAGCAAATCGTTCCCACCAGCGCGGCGTCCTCGCAAGCGTGTTCAGCCCGTCCGCATCAACCACCGTGGGCGGCAGGCGTTCTTCCGAATACAGCACGCCCTCGATGAACCTTTGCATATCCATCGCCTGCCCCATACCGCACCCCAGCAGCATGCTGTTATAGCCTCCAGCGCCTCCAGCACATCGCCCGCAGCACGATGGCAACGCAACGCCCGGCGCCGACTCGGCAAGCGGCAGGTATGTCGGCTCGGTCGCCTTGCCCGCCACCGCCATCTGTATCGACGCAGGCAGCGCAATCGTAACTAGCCCGCTCCCTACCCGTGTAGCCGCGCTGCCCGCCAGATACGCCGCGCCGATATAGTTCAGCGATCCCGCGACCACCATCGTCCTGCCGAAGCTGCCCTTGTGCGCGTCAGACGGGCGCATCGGCAATAGCGGGCGCATATTGGGCATCGGTCATTAGAGACAATGGCACATCATCGTCCACGCCGTCAGGCAGACCGATTTCCACCACATCCAGTCTGCCAATTCGCGCAGCCGCGCCGTAGTCGTAATGCCCGACCTTGGGATAGCCCATCGACAGCGTGATGTCCACAGCAGGACATGCAGGATCGGCATCCCCGCTGTCCGCGTCCATCCCGCTCGGCACATCAATGGCAACAGTCGCCATATCGGGACGGAACGCTCTCATATCAGCAACCATGAGCAGAATGTCCCGCACCACGCCCTCAAGCGGCCTGATACGCCCGATCCCAAGCACTGCATCCACCACCACATGTGCCTCGCCGAGCAACGTCCTCAACTGCGCCAAACCCGGATCTTCAGACGCCGCAGTCACAGGAACGCCAGGATCGTTCACGATGTCCAGCTTGGGATCGGGAGCGCGCCTGTCTCGGCAGATGTACACGCTCACACGTGCGGCCCAACGATGTAGATGCCGAGCAACCACAAGCCCGTCGCCCCCGTTATTGCCGGGGCCCACCAAGACGACCACAGGTACTCCGAATAGCGGGGAGAAATGCCGCCGAATGTATCGCGCCGACTCAAGCCCCGCCCGCTCCATCAGCGCATCCTTGGACACGCCCGTCGCCTCCGAACGGTCCTCGATTCGCCGCATCTGATCGGCAGTTACAATCTTCATATCTGGCTGTCTATTCCTAGAACAATGCGATTATGCATGACGGTTTTGATGACAGAGGGAAGAAAACTATTCCACCAGCGATTTCAGCAGCGCCTGCGTTCGCGCAACCGAAGCATCGGCATCGCCGCCAACTGGGAATACATTCGCGACGAACTCCGTTGCCCCCGCGTCCGCGAATGCCCGGATCTGCCGCTCGACCTCAGCCTCGTTCCCCACAACGGCGACCTCCGAAGGTCCTTCGACATCCCCCACGTCCAGAATACGGCGATAATTCACCAAAGTGCCGTACCGCTCGAACAGCGATGCTGCCTGCGCTCTGCCCGCTGACTCGTCGTCGGTGACGGCGACCGGCAGCCCTACGCTCACGCGCGGGCTTGGCCTGCCAGCCTCAGACGCGGCGGCGTTGATGCGCGGCACTACGTGAGATTCGATTGCCCTGACGCCCGCCATCCAGGTAATTGTGCCGTCCGCAACTGCGCCGCCCAGCCGCAGCATTCGCGGCGCGAGCGCCGAAATCATCACCGAGACCGGCAGTCCGTCCGCAACATCAAGCTCCGCATGCACATTGTAGAAGTCGCCGTCAAAGTCAACCTTGCCCTCGTCGATGAGCGGACGCAGCACAGCCAGATACTCCTCAACGTGCTTCGCCGGTCGGTCATAAGACAGCCCAAATGCATTCTCGATACCCGGTTTGTGTGATGGCCCTATACCCAGTGTCAGGCGTCCCCCGGCGGCGATCTGCGTCGTAATCGCCTGATGCGCCAGCATCGTCGGATGGCGCGGATAAGTCGGCACAACACCTGTGCCGAGCGCAATCCGCTCAGTCTGCGCGCCTACGAGAGCCAGCGCGGTCAGCGCGTCCGGCCCGCGCGCCGAGATGTGCGGGAGCCAGTAGCTGTCGAAGCCGTCAGCCTCCGCCTGAACGCCCTGCGCCACAATCTCGTCCAGCCTGATTTTGTCCGTAGCCGACGCTCCGACAAATAACCCAATTTTCATGTACTCGCCCCCATAGTCTCTAGTGGTTAGTAATCATTCAATAGTTGATACGGACTAGCGTCGCGGCACAAGGTTGCCACGCTCGCTCTCGCCGACCACGGATGCGACTGCAAACTCGCGCGAGTGCGACAGCGACACCGCAATGTCAGTCAATCCGATACGCTCCGCGCGCGCCGTCGCCGTGCCGCTCAGCCGTATCGAAGGCGCCTGCCCCCTGCCCGCGCACAACCTCGATATCCCGCCAGCGCACTCCCCGAACGCCCGTGCCCAGCAGCTTCATCACCGCTTCCTTAGCCGCAAATCGGCTCGCAAGCTGCGGCGCGCGTCCCCGGCAGTACGCAGCCTCCGCGTCCGTGTATATCCGTCGCAGGAAGCGCTCGCCGTAATGTGCGTACACACGCTTCACGCGCTCAATTTCGATTATGTCCACGCCTGTTACAAGCATATTGCTATATCGGTATTCGGTCCGCCGAATGTACAGTCTTAGTGGCTTACTTAATGGCTCAATGGATGAGATACTGAGCGACGGACTAGCTGATAGACTGAACCACTTCCGGTATTAACGCCTCCCAGCCGATTGCCATCACATGCGCCCCTTGGCACATCGGACGAATGTCGCCGATGATTTCCGCCGTAATCTCCGCGCTCGCACGGCGTCGCGTATCCACGGATGAGGCGGCAGCGTCCATGCGATCGATGATAGCATCAGGCACACTAATCCCCGGCACATTGGCATTGAAGTTGCGCGCCATCCTGCCAGACTTCAGCATAATGCAGCCCGCAAGTATCGGCACGCCGTAGCCCTCCACACGCCGCATGAACCGCTCGAACTCGCTCGCGTCATACACTGCCTGCGTCTGAAAGAACGCCGCCCCTGCCTCTATCTTCTCCTCCATGCGCCCAATTTCCCGATCGAGGTCCGTTGCGCCCGGGTTCACCACCGCGCCCACGAACAGCTCAGGCGATCCGCGCACTCCGCGCCCCGACATGTCGCTGCCGGCCCGCAGTCCTGTCAGCGATTGCAGCAGTCGCAGTCGAGTCTATGTCGAACACCGGCTTGGCATCGGGGTGGTCGCCGCCACCGGGATGATCGCCGGTCATCGTGACGATGTTCCGAATGCCCAGCGCCGCCGCCGCCAAGACATCCGCCTGCAGCGCGATGCGATTGCGGTCGCGGCAAGTCAGCTGCATTATCGGCTCAAGGCCCCTGTCCTGCAGCAGGTGAGCGGCGGCAATCGGCGACATGCTCATGCGCGCCGTATGCGAGTCGGTCAGGTTGAAAGCGTCCACCACGCCGCGCAGCGACTCGGCGCGCTCAAGCAGCGGCGCAAGCTCCGTACCCTTCGGCGGGTTAAGCTCAGTCGTGATTACGAATTTCCCCGATTGAGAAGGTCAGAAAGGGAATAGACGGTCATGGTAGTTCACTGTGGGCAGATTGTTGACATTCGCATAGCCTCGATAAGTTGATTATAATTTGGGTAAGAAGCAATTGAAAGCGCAAGCGAGTTTGCAGGCGCAAGCTATGGGGCAACCTGAAAGGACATACACGACATGACCGCAACCCTGATTGACGGCACAAGCATAGCCGCGGAAGTGCGCGCAGAAGTCGGGCGCAGTCGTCACGGAGATGCGCTCCAAGCATGGCATCGCCCCCGGACTCGCTGTCGTGCTCATCGGCGACGACCCCGCATCCGCTGTGTATGTGCGCATGAAGGAGCGCGCCGCAATCGAGGCCGGGCATGGTCTCCGAGACAATCACTGCTGCCCGCCGACACATCGCAGGACGATGCGCTCGCGGTAGTGCGCCGCCTCAACAATGACGCCCGCTATCACGGCATCCTGGTGCAGTTGCCACTGCCCGACCACATCAGCGAGGACACCGTCATCCAGTCCATCAATCCGAACAAGGACGTTGACGGGCTGCACCCCTTCAACATGGGGCTGTTGATGGCAGGCAGGCCGCGCTTCATACCCGCGACTCCTTCGGGCATCCAGCAGATGCTTTTGCGAACCGGCAACGACCCGTCAGGCAAGCACGTCGTCGTGTGCGGGCGCAGCAACATCGTGGGCAAGCCCATAATGAACCTGCTAATGCAGCGCAGAGACGGCGCAAACGCCACCGTAACCGTCTGCCACACACGCACACGCGACCTTGCTGAAATGACGCGACAGGCGGACATACTCATCGCCGCAGTCGGCAGCCCACAGATGATTACCGCCGACATGGTGAGCGAGGGCGTGGTAGTCATAGATGTCGGCGTGAACCGCGTGGACGCGCCGGAACGCAGGCGCGGCTACCGTCTCGTCGGCGATGTTGACTTCGACGCAGTGTCGGAGAAGGCAGCAGCCATCACTACCCGTGCCCGGCGGCGTGGGACCCATGACCATTGCAATGCTCTTGCAGAACACGCTCAACGCCGCGCGCCACTCGATCCACCCCGAACTGCAATGACGCCTCAAACGCGCAGCGACGCCCTGCGAACTTCCGACTACGACTACGAATTGCCGGAACCGCTGATTGCCCAGACACCGATAGAAACCGCGCGACCATTCCCGCCTCATGTCTCTGTGCCGCGCAGACGGCAGCATACGACATCACCGCTTCTACGACTTGCCGGAGTACTTCGCCCCGGCGACGTGATGGTCTTCAACGACAGCCGCGTCATGCCCGCCCGACTGCGAGGCAACGCGCAGTACCGCGGCGGCGCAATCGAGTTGCTGCTGCTATCGCGCATATCGCCCGGCGTTTGGCGCGCCATAGGACGCCCGGACGGTTTCTGCGCCCGGTGCCGCATTCGAGATTACGGGCAAAGGCGGTTCGATAGCGGCGAGGTGCTGGAGATCGAACCTGAAGGCGAGCGCATTATCCGCCTCGACGGGGAGGAACGCCTGCACGATGTCGGAGAAGTCCCACTGCCGCCGTACATCACCGAGACGCTTGCAGACTCCGAGCGCTACCAGACCGTCTATGCCCGCGAGGAAGGCAGCGCCGCGGCTCCCACCGCAGGTCTGCACTTCACCGATGAACTGCTCGAACGGGTGCGAGCGATGGGCGTGCAGACAATCTTCGTAACGCTGCATGTCGGCTGGGGCACATTCCGCCCTGTCAAGACCGACGACCCCACCGAGCACACCATGCACTCCGAATACTGGGAGCTTTCATCCGAAGCCGCCGACGCCATTCGCAGCGCGAAAGCAGATGGTCGCCGCGTCATTTCCGTTGGCACGACCGCCGTGCGCCTGCTGGAAAACGCCGCATCACTCTCGGCGGACAATCTTCCGCAAGCGGGTTCCGGATGGGCGGACATATTCATCACTCCGGGCTACCGCTTCAAGGTCGTTGACGCACTGATAACCAACTTCCACCTGCCGCGCTCCACGTTGCTGATGCTCGTAAGCGCACTTGCCGATCGCGGCACTATAATGCGCGCCTACACCGAGGCAGTAGAGCAGAGATACCGCTTCTATAGCTTCGGCGACGCCATGTTCATCCACTGACGGCGAAGATGAAGGGAGTGCGCCAGTGAAAACCTTCACGCTGACCAATGAACTATGGCTGCCGCATCAGCCGCAGGATGTGTTCCCGTTCTTCGCGGACGCCTTCAATCTTGAACGCCTCACGCCCCCTTCGCTGGGATTCCGGGTACTCACACCGCCTCCAATCGAGATGAAAGTGGGCACGCTGATAGACTACCGTGTGCGACTGCGCGGCGTTCCGATGCGCTGGCAGAGCGAGATTACGGAATGGGAGCCGCCCCATCGTTTTGTGGACGAGCAGCGGCGCGGCCCCATATCGCCTGTGGGATTCACGAGCACACCTTCACCTCGCAGGACGGCGGCACCATGGCGAAAGACACCGTGCGCTACGCTGTGCTGGGCGGCGCAATCGTGCAACGCCTGTTCGTAGCTTCAGAACTCAAGCGCATCTTCCAGTACCGCAACGCGGCCCTCAAGGACCACTTCTCGCGCTGAATTTAGCCGAACAGTTCTCTTCAATAGTCTAAGAGAGAAACAAAACTAAAGCACGACTAACTCGCCCTTGGACACGCTTGCGCCATTTTTCGGCTAAGAGTAGCGTGATAGGCACTGCAATGATCTGGCTGGCGAAATTGGCGTCACAATGACGCAGCGGAGAGTGTGCGACCGCCATGATGTACACGAATACCATAACCAGCCGCTTCTTTCGCTCGTTCCAGCAGCGCAACTACCGCCTACTCTGGTTCTCAGACGGCCTAACCAGTTCCGCCGAGCAGATGGAATTCCTGGTTCTGGCATGGTACCTGCTAGTTGAAACCAATTCGCCTTTCCTCGTGGGTCTGTACGGCTCATTGCGCTTCACCGGCACCCTCTTCGCCCCCTTCTACGGCATAATCGTGGACCGCTACGACCGCCTCATACTGCTGAGGATATCGCGCATTATATTCACCGTCATCGCCGTCATAATCGCGGCGCTCTCGTTCCTCGGAGAGATACAAGTCTGGCAGATCTTCGTGCTGACGGGCGTGGCGGGCATGGTTCGCGCCTTTGAGAATGTAACGCGCCAGACGCTTATGGCAGACATAGTGCCGCGCCAGAACCTCGGAAATGCCGTCGCCCTCACGAGAACCGGGCGGGACGCGACACAGATAGTCAGCCCCATCATCGGTGGCTTACTGCTCGACTCCTTCGGACTGGGCTGGGCCTATGTAGTAATCATCGTCCTGCTCTTCGGCGGCACCGCGCTCACCCTTCCCGTCAAGCCGCCGCCCAGGATACCAATGGCTCGCGGCGCGTCTATATTCACCACACTCGCTGAAAGCTTCCGATTCGCCCGCAGCCACGAAGTAATACTCGCGCTGCTCCTGCTCGCCTTCATCGGCAACCTGACGGGCTTCCCGCTTAACCAGGGACTTGTGCCTGTCTTCGCCTACGACGTGCTGCTCACCGACTCCACCGGACTCGGCTGGCTGCTCGGCGCGTACTCCGCAGGAGCGTTTCTGGGCTCCATAGTCATAGCCGGCATCGGCAACATGGAGCGCTCTGGCAGAGCGATGGCACTGGGATCCATCGCGTGGCATGCGGGTGTGGCAGTGCTGGCAGGCTCCAAGTTGTTCGGCGTATCCCTGGGCGTGCTGGCGTTTGCGGGCTTGGCGCAGTCATTTACTATGGTAACGATGTCCATCATGCTGCTGGGCAGCACGCCGGCACACATAAGAGGGCGTATGTTGGGACTGCGCTCGCTCGCCGTGTACGGGCTGCCGTTGGGCCTGCTTGCTTCCGGCGCCATTGCCGACACGCTGGGCATCACCTTCGCGCTGATCGGCAACGGCGTCATCGGAATTGCCATTACTGCTACAATTGTGCTAACACTCAGAGAGATCTGGCGCGCATAATGGCACATCGTGTCTAGGCAGGAAGCATTGCCCTCTTACCTCTATACCAATATACCAACAGCCCTGTCGCCACGTTCCGGTTGAAGTTCAATGAAATGCGGCTGTTTTTAGACAATACTTGCATTCCGTCAATTGATTATAATTGTTGATTGATGACTTAATTCTCAAGAATACACTGACACACGCGTACTCACGGATCAACGAGGTCTGACACTTGGAAGATGCTACTCTTGTGCGAGACTTTGCCACGATTATGGCAGTCGCAGGCATCGCAATTGTCATATTTCAGTGGCTCAAGCAGCCGCCGGTACTTGGCTATCTTTTAGCCGGGCTCATCGTGGGGCCCTACACGCTGCCGCTGCTCAACCTGCCAACGCCCGTCACCGACACTGATAGCATCCACCTGATGGCCGAACTTGGCTTCATAATGCTCCTGTTCGCTATCGGGCTGGAGTTCGGCTGGCGGCGCATCCGTGAGATGGGACTGCGCGTAATCCTCATCGGCACGATCGAGATTTTCTTCATGATCGCGCTCGGCTACGAGGTGGCGATCCTTCTTGGCTGGAGCACCACAGAGGCGATATTCCTCGGCGCGGCGCTCTCTATCAGCAGCTCCGCCATCATCATCAAGGTGCTGCGGGACACCGGACTGCTGAACGAGCGGCATGGCGCCTTAATTGTGGGCGTCCTCGTGGTAGAGGACTTCGCAGCGGTCATTCTGCTCAGCGTCCTATCCGGCGTGGCGACCTCCGGCACCGCAAACCTTGGCGAAGTCCTGACCCTCATGGTGCGGCTGGGTCTCTTCTTCGTATGCGCCCTGTTCATCGGCGCGCTGATCGCCCCGCGCATCATCAGGTTCGTGGCGCGCTTCAAGTCGAGAGAGGTGATGTTAGTCGTCAGCCTTGCAATGTGCTTCGGACTCGCCCTGGTCGGGCAGCAGCTACACATCTCCGCAGCAGTGGGCGCATTCATCATCGGCACGGTGCTTGGTGACACCGAATACTCCGATGTGCTCAACAACACCATCGCGCCGGTGCGCGACATCTTTTCCGCTATCTTCTTCATCTCCATAGGAATGCTCATCGAACTCTCGGTGCTGGGGCAGTTCATAGTGCCCGCGCTGATAGTCGCCGGCGTGTTCATGGTGGGCAAGATAGTCGCGGCAACCTTCGCCACATTCGTGACCGGGCACGACAGCAGAACCTCGCTCGGAGTCGGCATGGGCAAGCCGCAGATGGGCGAGTTCTCTCTGGCAATGGCCAAAGTGGGCGCGGATTATGGCGTAGTCGGCGCATTCCTGTATCCCGTAGTCGCTGCGGCATCTGCGCTGACCTCACTGCTTTATCCGCTCATAGTGCGCTCTTCTTCCGGTGTCAGCGACGTTGTGGACCGCCGATCGCCCCGCCTTCTGCGTCAATACGTTTGGAAATCTGTCATATGTGCTGATTTCGACGCGCAACGTGTTCGGGCTTGAGGGCGAGCTTGCGAACGAAATAAGGCGCTCCGGTCGCGTCATCCTCGTGAATTGCGGCGTCATCGTGGTCACAATTGGAGTGGGCACCTTTGTGCTAAATTTCGCCGGTGATATAGCGCGCGCGGTCAACCTCCAGCAGGGCGTGTTGGGCCTTCTCCTGAGCTGCCTTGTGGTGCTGCTGTGCATCCCGCCCGCCGTATTCACCTGGCGCACGCTCCAAAGGATGACTGACGACATTTCAGTGTTTATCCTTCGTTTCAACTCGAACAGTTTCAGCCTGCTGGACAGGGTAGGGTTGCGCGTAATACTGCGAAACAGCATTCTGATACCGATGGTGGTTGCCATTGGAGTATGGAGCCTCCCCTTCATCTCTCAGCTGGTCGTGCTCGGCAGCTTCTCCACGCCGATAGCCATAATATTCCTGCTTGGGCTTGTAGCCCTGCTATGGCGGGTCTCTTTCAAGATTCATAGCGTGATGGCGACCACTTTCAGCCGCACATTCCTGGGAGACGACAGGGATTTCCTTCTAGGGGCAACCACAGCGCCTGACTGCTCCTGTATGATATGGGCGGACTGAAGAGGCAATCATGAGACAATCATGAAGTGACAATCATAAGGAGGACGGAAATGCTACTTGAAGGAAAGATAGCCCTGATAACTGGAGCGGCTGCGGGTGTGCAGGGCGAGATTATGGGCTTCGGCGGCGCTGCCGCGTGGCTGTTCGCAGGCGAGGGCGCGAAGCTCGTGCTAACCGACATCAACGAAGAGCAGGGGCGCCGCACCGAAGCGCAACTGCGCGAGCACGGGCACGACGCCGTGTTCACAAGGCTTGATGTCACCAGCGAAGCCGACTGGGAAGCCGCCATCAAGCTGACACTAGACACCTATGGCAAACTGGACATTCTGGTGAACAACGCCGGCACCGGCGGACGCATGCGACTGGAAGACACCTCTGAAGAGCTTTGGGACGGGCAGATGAACGTGCATGCCAAGGGCGCGTTCCTCGGCATGAAGTACGCTGTACCGGAGATGCGAAAGGTAGGCGGCGGCTCGATCATCAACGTGTCGTCCATCTACGGACTAGTCGGCAGCCAGACATCCACCGCATACCACGCCGCCAAGGGCGCGGTGCGACTAATCTCCAAGTCCGCCGCCATCCAGTACGCGGGCGAAAACATTCGCGTCAACTCCATCCACCCCGGCTTCTGCCGCACGCCCATGACGAACGCCAGCTACCAGGACCCGGCGCACTACGAGCCGCTGTTGCTGCGCATCCCAATGGGCAGGGTCGGGCAGCCGCAGGAACTCGCCCAGGGCATGCTTTATCTCGCGTCCGACGAGTCGAGCTATGTAACCGGCTCCGAACTCGTCATCGACGGAGGCGTGACGGCGCAATGACGCAGACGCAAGCAATAGAAACCGTCTGGTTCGTGTACTCCGAGCAGGGCGAACCTCTCGGCAGGCTATACCGCGAAGAGGGCGCGCCCGCTCCCGAAGTCGGCGCACGGATGCCCGACGGCGAGGGCTGCGAATCCCACTCATCACCGCGGTGCGCGAGCTTGCGCCAACCTGTGCCATGCGCCGCTTCCGTGTCACCATCACGCAGTCGGACGCCTAGCCCGTGAATATCTGGAAACGGCGCAATAATCGTAGTAATATGGACATGGTGAGCCAACGTAGCTCAGTCGGTAGAGCAGCTGTTTCGTAAACAGCAGGTCGACGGTTCGAGTCCGTCCGTTGGCTCCACGGCATCCCCACTCCCACACATCAGCGATGGACATACCGCCGTGCGCGTTCTGGTTCCAATCAAAGCAACCACAGACGGCGAGGCGGGCGTCATGCCCTCCACCGACCTCATCGAAGCTATGGGCAGGTACAACGGGGAGCTGGCCGAAGCCGTCGAGTAGGTCAAGCGCTGCCCCAACCCCATGCCCGGTCCCAGCGCAAATCGAGATCCGCCACATCTTCGAATACTGAAGACTCGGCGAGCAGAGTTCACGCGACCTGCGCGAGCAGGAGGAGCAGATGCGCGAGGAGCTGGAGGGGCGGTAGCCTTTCAGCGCAGTTCAACGCCAATGCATTCAGAGGAGGGCGTCCCTGTGCCTTGGGAGGAGTCTTCCACACATAGCTGTCATTTGCCGCACGGACGCAGCATACTGGTCAAGATCTTCCCGTCAACTTTTTCCCCTCCGCCTCGCCTTCAATTTCAGAGTGTTCAACTATGAAGACGTCCGCATGTGTTGCTTTGTTTCTTCTCACCTAATCTTCAAATATAAAGAAAGCTTCGCTCAACTGCTCATAACTCCTTAGTACCCTATATGTCCTCACATCCGAAATCGCCAATGCTATAATGTTGACGTAAAGTCCGCATGAATGGAGAATGGGTCGTGAATGATCATCGAGTTGAGAATCAGTTTGACACGGAAGCAGATCAGCTCAATGACATTGAGGATGAAGCTGAAAGAGACGATGCCGTAGTTTCACACAGATACGACATCACGAGTTTCGGAATCGACTTCGATATTGAAGGTCTCGTCCGGCGGTTGAACTCTGAAGACATTACAATACCTGATTGGCAGAGGCAATATATCTGGAGCATCAGACAGGCTTCATCATTCATTGAGTCTCTTTTAATTGGGCTTCCCGTTCCCGGGGTTTTTCTTGGCAGAGACGACGTGTCTGGGAAGCTGTTTGTCATTGACGGTCAGCAGAGACTAAAGACCTTACAATTCTTCTATGGAGGAGAATATGGATCCGGTGTCCATTTGCGCAGACCTAGACCCTTCAAATTGGTAGGTGTTGCTGACCGCCTTGAAGGAATTAGTTTCAAAGACTTAGGCGACCCTGATAGGAGAAACCTAAGCAACTCACTGATTCATGCGACTGTAGTGAGACAGGAATCTCCAGCCGATAACGATACTAGCATGTATCAGATTTTCAAGAGACTTAATGATGGTGGTGCGCGGGTCGTACCTCAGGAAATACGGTCTGCTGTCTACCAAGGTCGGCTAATAAATACTATTAGAGATCTTAACGAAGACAGCAATTGGCGGAGAATACTTGGTAGCCCGAACCGTCGAATGAAAGATCAAGAAATGATTCTTCGGTTCTTTGCTCTGCTGTACGAGGGAGATCAATACACCCGTCCTATGGCAGAGTTCCTAAATGCCTTTACAAAGTCGAATAGAAACCCTGACAAAATGTGGATTCAGCTATCATCAGATTTATTCAGACATACCATCGGCACATTTGCTACAGCGATGGGAAGGCCTTTCCGACTTAGTGAGAGAAGAGCAGTGAACGTGGCAGTGTTCGACTCAATGGCAGTTGGGCTCGCGACTCGCATCAGGGATTCGGAGAGCACGCCCAGTCCTTCAAAAGTAGAAGCTGTGCACGATTCTCTAATAGAGAGCAGTGAATTTCTTCAGGCTGTTATACAGAGTACTTCCGATGAGGCATCTGTCGCTAAGCGCCTTAAGATTGCTATCTACGCCTTCAGAAATGCGTAATCGAGATTTAAGTCGCGAGCTCAGTCGGCTGAATGACCTAATCAAACGAACCACCTTTGCCACAGAGGACATTGAACTGCAGGGGGCATTGGGGTCGATACTTATGCGTTGTCGCTGCTGGCTTTGTGGAAAATGGACTTCAAACCATCTATTCTGATTATGCAGTGAATTCTGCAAGTGGGCCAGTGGCTCGATATGTCAACAGCCGTCTAGAATCTGTGTACAATCCTAACGCTCAACGCTTTATTGATGTTGCAGGGTCGTTCAATGTTGCTTGGCGGGAAGAATTAGAGGAATTCCTCCAGAAAGACGAAGGGTCTAGGAAAGAAGCCCTTGACTCAATTATGAATAACCGTAATCAGATTGCGCACGGTAAGAGCGTAGGCGTTACCGTCCATAGGGTGCGAGACTACATTGATCGCTGCGTTGAAGTGCTAGAATTTATCGAAGATCAATGCGACGGTCGCGTTCGTTAGCGTTCAGAAGAGAAATTTCCTGTCTACCTCTCCCCCACCCCACGATGACCCGCCGCCGCATCTCCACGCTCCGCCCACGTACCTTGCGCCCATAGTGCTTCTTCCTTCATTTTCGCGCCCTTTGCCCGTCCGTCAGACCTCCCGGACATGCTTTGCGTTTAATACATTTGCGTAGTACAAGTCTTATACTTTGTGAACGTTCTATTGAGACTCGCTGTCAGGTCTGCAATTCATGGCGCGCCAAAAATATGAGCACGGCCATTACATCGGCCACTGCAAATTTGCTTTTCATCGGCAACATTTTCACAATGGACATTTCTCAGATTTGTATCTACAATAGCGCTTGCGCTCGTTCAATTATATTAATTGTACCTATGCGCGATGTGACAAAAGGACCAATCGCCTGAGTCGCCATTTGATCATTTCATTACTCACTGGCACTGAAGACACGCAATAATTAGCGCAGCATTCTTGGATCACATATATGTGATTCCTAAAAAATCGTTGATACTCAGTATTGTAAATCGATGGAACGAGGAGTGCTCTTGGCTTCAGAGATCGCGAATGAAAACATCCGGTTTGAGCCGGACGAGGGTTGTCCGCCTCTAACTGCCATTATCACCGGCTTTCAACTAGCCATAGTCATGATAGCGCTCGTGGTAGTCCCGGTGGTCATTGTAGTCCGTACGGCAGAACAGCCTGAAAGCTATCTCACCTGGAGTGTATTCGCGTCATTGGTCATTTGCGGCGCAGCCACTATCATGCAAGCATTTCGAGTCGGGCGTCTTGGTGCCCGTCATGTGCTTGTGATAGGCACGGCCGAACCCGCAATCGCCATCTGCATCACCGCCCTTTCACAAGGCGGGCCCACGATGCTGGCCAGCCTTGTGGTGCTTTCGTCCCTGCTGAAGTTTGTCGTAGCTGCCCGGCTTTCACTGTTGCGCCGAGTAATCACCCCTGTGGTATCCGGCACTGTACTGATGCTGATAGCGGCAACAGTCATTTTAGCGGTGTTCGGGATACTGACTGTCACACCCGATGGCAGGCCCGTATCGCCGATAGCAGCCCCGCTCACAGCAGCCATTACTCTGGCAGTGGTGACATTGCTCCTCCTGCGGGCGCCCCGTAAACTGCAGCTCTGGTCGCCGATAGTAGGTATTGTCGTTGGCTGCGTTGTTGCCCTGCCGTTCGGCCTTTACGACACCCATCTAGTGCAGGAGGCGCCCTGGGTCGGTATCCCCCAAAACGCCTGGCCGGGCTTCGATCTGTCGCCTGGCCTGAAGTTCTGGGCTCTTCTCCCCGCCTTTTTGCTCATAACAATTATCACGTCCTTCAAGGCCGTCGCGGACATTAGCGCCGTCCAGCGCGTCTCCCGGCGCCAGTCTCGTGCCAGCGACTTCAGACTCATCCAGGGTGGCCTCAACATCAACGGGTTGAGCAACCTGGCGTCCGGACTAGCCGGGACTATGCCCACTATGACTGCCTCCCCCAGCGTAGCGATGATCAGCCTCACAGGGATCGCGTCGCGGGCCGTGGGTATATGGGCCGGCATCATATTCATATTTCTGGCGCTACTGCCAAAGCTGACCGCAGTGTTGTTGGCGATACCGGCGCCTGTCGCAGCAGCGTACATAATGATAATTATGGGACTGGTTTTCATCGAAGGCGTGGAAACCGTTGCCAGGGACGGCATAGACCATCGAAAGGCAGTAGTCGTGGCGGTCTCATTCTGGGTCGGCATGGGCTTCCAGAATCAGGCAATTTTCGCCGACCTGCTCACGGGAACATGGAACGCGCTGCTAAGCAACAGCGTAACGTCCGGAGGCCTTGCCGCAGCCCTGATGATCGGATTCATTGAGTTGACCGCCGCCAGGCGTAAACACCTGGAGGTTGACTTGGACTTCACATCCATGCCGGAGGTTGACCGCTTCCTGCAGCGCTTCGCTATTGACAGGGGCTGGAACGACGCATCAATTCAGCGGCTGCGCGCGGTGGGTGAAGAGACGCTGGCTATCATGGTGCTGTACGAAGACGAAGATACCTTAGAACGCCGCATGATCATCAATGCGCACGTCAACGACGACATAGCGGAATTAGAATTCCTATCGGCGGCATACGATGTGGAAAACCTCGAAGACAGGCTGGCGTACATGAGTGAGCAGCCCGAGGTGCTGGACGAGCTTGAGGTTTCGTACCGGCTGTTGCGCCACTACTCCTCTTCAGTTCGCCATCAGAAGTTCCACAACATGGATGTCATCACCGTCCATGTCGAAGGCTCGCGCTAAGCGTTCCTTACTGACCTCAAACTTCTGCAGAGTCTCACGGCAGCGCATCCACCCGCATCAAAAACAATCAGCGGCCGGTCCGGCGTGTAAGCACACCCAAGACCGACCGCTGACGACTTTGTGCCGAAAGCTTATCGCGCTAAAGCCTACTCCATCCGCGAGCCGCCCCACGCACGCGAGACGCCTGCTGCCGTCGGCTCTACGATGACATTCACCACAGCGGGCTTTCCGCTAGCGAACGCGCGCTCAAGCGCCGGTCGAATCTCGTCCGGATCCGTAACCTTTTCGCCGTATGCGCCGAGCTCACGCGCCATGCCGTCGTAATTCGTGAAGCCCATCTCACGCCCGGGCTTTCGGCGGTCAGGCGCTCGCGCCGTCCAGCCTGCGTTGTTGCTGATGACCGTTACCACCGGCAGGTTGAAGCGAACGCAGGTGTCGATCTCCATCGCGTTCATGCCCATCGAGCCGTCGCCGTGCAACACCAGCACCTGCGTGTCAGGCTTGGCTACCTGCGCCCCGATGCCGTAGGGCAGACCAACGCCCATGGTGCCGGTTACGCCGGAGTTCAGCCTGTGGCCCGGCACGAATGTCGGTAGCGACTGCCGCCCGAAGTGCAGTATCTCGTTGCCGTCAACGCACAGGATGGCGTCCCGATCCAGGAAGTCGCGTATCTCCTTGCAGAGCCGCAGCGGGTGTATCGGCGTCTGGTCCGAGTTCAGCAGAACGTCCTGCTGACCGGCGCGGCGGTCGTTGTCCTCTTGCAGGCGTGAGATCCAGGGCGATTCCAGCCTGCCCGCGAAATCTTCGGGTCGCTCTTCTATTTCCGCGACCATCTGCCCCAGAATAGACTTGGCGTCGCCCACGATGCCCAGGTCAACATCGCGGTTGTGCGCGATCTCGCTCGCCTCGATGTCAATCTGCACCACCTTCGCGGTGCCAAAGCGCTGCCCATAGTTGATCATCCAGTTCATGCGCGTCCCGATTACCAGCACAAGGTCTGCCTCTCGCAGCGCCGTGCTGCGCGCGCCTTGGAACGATACGGCATGGTCTTCCGGCACAACGCCGCGCGACATCGGCGCGGTGTAGAAGGGCGTGCTCGTCAGGTCAACCAGCCGCTCCATCTCAGGCGATGCGCCCGAGAAGAATACGCCGCCGCCCGAGAATATGACCGGGCGCTCCGACTCCGCTAGCATATCCACCGCTTCGCTGATAGCCGCCGCATCGCCGGCGGGCACCGACTTACGCGCTGCGCGTGTGGGCTTCACCGCCGCGTCCTCTTCAATCTCTTCGTACAGCACATCCGCGCCGCAGTCGATGTACACAGGTCCCGGCCTGCCGGACATCGACTGTCGATACGCAGTGCTCACGATTTCGGGATAGCGCGCCGCCATCGTGGGCCGATGCCAGTACTTGACGATCGGCTCCATGATACGCTCCTGGTCAACCTCCTGGAACGACTCTCTGCCGATTTCATGCACCGCGCTAGCGCCGCCCAGGATGACCATCGGCGAACAGTCGATGGACGCTGCATACACGCCCGTGAGCAGGTTCAGAGTTCCAGGTCCCGATGCTGCCGTGCAAACGCCGGGCTTGCCCGTAACACGCGCGTATGCATGCGCCGCGAACGCCGCCGCCTGCTCATGGCGGAAGTCTATCGTCTCGATGCCGAAGTCCTGACAGCCCATCACGATGTCGAAGTCAGGCCCTCCCATTAGGTAGAAGAGCTTCTCCACGCCCTCTTCTGCGAGCGTCTTGGCGATAAGATAACTGCCTGTAACCTTTGCCATATCAATACTCCTGTGTCCCCTGTATGTTGGTAGCTGCAGTTGCGGCGCGGAAACTCCACGCTGACACGCGCTAGATTAACACACTGAGGCAAACTGCGCCAAACTCCATCGCTTCCATCCTGTCTTATCGATGCCTGTACTATCGATGTCGGCTCGGTCACATCCCCGCTAGCTATACAGCGCCTCCCCGCGGTGCAACCGCAGTGCGATGTTGAACGTCTGCTGCACCGCGCGCGACGTGGGCGCATGCGCCGCCAGAAAGCGCGATAACGCAACCAGCACGATGCGCCCTTCGTCCGTGCCGCGCCGCTCCTCGTACTGCTTTATCGCCGCATCAACAATCTGGAACATGTGGAAGCCTGACTCCTCTCGCAGCATCGAGTGTCCCAGCGTGGCAATGATGCCCTCCGGCGTCGCGCCCCCGCTGATGTAGTCCGATACTACTTTCGCCGAAGGCTCCACATTCTGCTGCAAGTCCATCCCGCCAAGCAACTCCGAGCGCAGGGCATCGCCGTCAATCGCGCCATTCGCGAGCGGCTCAGGCGTCCTCTGCGCGGGCATGTTCAGGAACCTGTCAAGATACACGCTCATCGCCGTATCCAGCGTACCCCTGAGCAACTCCAGCGATGGCGCGCGCTTCAATGCCTGATGCAGCGCGTTCGCCGCCGTCAGCGTGTTGTGCAGAGTATCCCAGTCGTTGAACTCGTTGGATGTGTGGAAGCGCGCCATCCGCACGAACGCCGCATACGCCACCGCCGAGCCGACCTGCGCCTCGCTCGCGCCAGAGCGCACAGCATCCACGACGGCATCCAGAGTCGCAGCAGGATCATCCTCAAGTATCACATCCACCAGCGCATTCTCATCGTCCCATTCGCCGCGCCGACCAACGCCTTCCGCGTATGCAGTTGCGAGCGCCTCCCGCGCCTTCCAGACCATCGTCGAGATGTCAATCGGATTGCGCCACGAACTGAGCTCCTCGCTGCGTCTCGCCCCGGCCGTTCCGCGCACAAGGCTCGTGAGCACCCGCCCCGCATGCTCCCAGCCCAGATGGTCCAGCAGCTCGAACGCCTTGTTGGCGAAGTCCAGCGTATGCCCGCCGTCAATATATACATGGTCGGTGATGGCCGCGAAAATCATGTCGGCTATAGTCTGCTCAGGAACGCCTATCTCTATTGCCGTGCGCAGGCATCGCTCCGCCCCGTCCGAATCGCGCACATCTATGAAGTTCCTCAGCCACAACTTGAACACCTCCGCCCGCGTCTCGCCAGTCGGCAGCGGATCCAGCAAGAAGCGCGGCGCCATTCCAGCATTCGCCCGCGCCACATGCAGCAGTCCCTGGTACATCGCAAGCGGTCGGTCTGCCGCTTCAAGATATGGCAGCATGCTCGCGCTGCAAGTGAGTATCGTCATAGCCTGTCCCCAGCCTGCAGCCGAGTACGTCGTGCCGAACTTCGCGCCTATCCCAAGCGGAATGCGATAGTCCGCATCCACCGCGTCCAGCCCCAGCACCGACTTGGCGATTACAAGGCGGATGTTGTCCTCCAGCGCGTCTTCCAGCCGCTTCGACCAGCGCGCCGTCTGGTCTGTCTCCGGCGGCGACGGGTCCACCCACACCTCACCGTCAGCCACCGACACCGGAAACGAGCGCACATCGTCAGCGAACGGGTCGAAAGTGCCGCCGCTCGACAGATCGAAGCGCGCGTGGTGCCAGTGGCAAGTCAGAATGCCGTCCTTCACAGTCCCCCTGTCCAGCGGAAACCCCATATGCGGGCATCGGTTATCCACCGCAAACACCTTGTCATCGTGCGCGAACACCGCGATGGTGTGCCCGCCGCCCGTAACCACCGTGCATCCCCGCGCTCCTAAGCTCCTCCAGCGTCCCAACCCGAATCTGTGTATCAGTCATAGTAGCCATAGCGCCCTCCTTGCTTGCAGGCTTATGTCAACCTTGCATGCAACTAATGTAGCAGAGGATGGCGGAGGGTGCATGGCCTCACCATATCCCGCCATAGGAGCGTGCTATAATGCGCTCGTACACAGACATCTGCTGATAAACTGAAAACTGGCTTGATGACTGGGAACTTAAAGGAGTCCTGCCATGACCACATCGCATCAGGACTTGCGACAGTCCGCAAGCGAAGATCCAATTGATCCGGATCTGTGCGGCGCCTTGACCGATCTGCAAGAAGCGGCTGATTACGCCCGCGAAGAAGGGTTTCCAATACCCTCCAAGCCCGCCATCAGCAATGCCGAGCGATTGCTGAAAAAGGTACGCAAGATTTCTTCGTTGCATCTCGAGGTGTATCCTACCCCAGATGGTGAGATTGCCGTTCATACCCCGAACGGTCGTGGGCGTTCAGTCGTGCTGCTGTGCGATTCGGACGGAGGTATATTGTGCCTTGCAAACCTTGACAGTGGGCATCGGCGCAATAGTTATGCAACTGTCGATGCGCTCCCGGACAAGTTTCTACGCCGAGCACTTGTGGAATTGGAAAACGACCGCACCTAAAGTTCTATGGAAATACCTGAAAGTATCGACCCAAACGAAGAGTTGGGGCGGGGCGTATCTTCAAGCAGAATCGCTAGGCGTGCCAGCCGCCCTAATTTTCAAGTTCCGCTCAATGTGTTCTTGCCGCCACGAAGTGAATCCAACATTTCAGTCGATAGGCTTAGTGTAGTTCAGCACGATGTAGCAGTCACAATTGCTGACAGACGTGACAGGGAGCGCGACCACACATTCTACGGATGGGCAGTCATCTCAGCGGCAGAAGCGTCTGAAAACGAACGCAAGGTAGTTGCCTCTCCTATACCCAATATCAACCTGTATCATGCGGACATTGTTCTACCCCAAGACACTGCTCACGATAGGGAAGAGCAAAAGCGACACGCTCAGGAGTTGGCAGATGCCTCGCATTGGAATGACCGCGCAACCCCACTGACAGTCCGAACCACCAATTAACTGACAATCGCACAACAATCGCACACTGGAGGCACCCCCATGGTCACCCCACGCGAAGACTGGCTCCAACTCACCACCGAAGATCCCATCGACCCCGACCTGCCGATATGCGACCCGCATCACCACCTCTGGGAGCGGCCCGGCAACAACTACATGCTTGACGACCTGCTGCGCGACCTCAGATCCGGGCACAACATCATCAGCACCGTCTTCCTTGAGTGCTCGTCCATGTACCGCACCGACGGCCCCGAGCACATGAAGCCCCTCGGCGAGACCGAGTTCGTGGCGTCCGTCGCTGAAGAAGCCGCCGCGCGCTCCGATGTGCATACGAACATCAACGCCGCCATAGCCAGCCACGCAGACCTCACGCTCGGCGAATCTGTCGCTGAGGTGCTTGAAGCGCACATTGAATTGGGCAAGGGCAGGTTCCGCGGCATTCGGCACGGCACTTCACACGATCCCAGCCCCATAATCCCGGCGTACCGCGACCAAGGTTCCGGCGTCATGATGACACCCAAGTTCCGCGAGGGCTTCACGCAATTGCGAAGACTCGACCTGACTTTCGATGCCTGGCTCTTCCACCCACAGCTTGGCGAACTCGCCGACCTGGCTCGCTCGTTCCCGGACGTGACAATCATCCTCGACCACATCGGCGCTCCCCTCGGCGTAGGCCACTACGAAGGCAGGCGCAGCGAGGTTATGGAAATCTGGAAGCGCAGCATCGCGGAAGTCGCGCAGAACGAGAATGTCTTCGTGAAGGTCGGCGGCTGCGGCATGCCCAACTATGGCAACGGCTGGCACGAGCGCGACACCCCCATTGGCTCTGCCGAGCTTGCCGAAGCCACCGCGCCCTACTACCTGCATGTCATCGAGCAGTTCGGCGTCGAGCGCTGCATGTTCGAGAGCAACTTCCCCGTCGATAAGGCGTCCTACTCCTACAATGTGATGTGGAACTCCTTCAAGCGCATCGTCGCAGACTTCTCCGACAGCGAAAAAGCCGCCCTATTCCACGACACAGCAACGAGGGCGTATCGCATAGGCTGACGCGCCCGTTCAGCCGCATCTCAATTCAGCCCAATACGGAATTGAACGCTCGATCGAATGTCTTTATCTCGCTTTCGCCACGTCTGCGGCAGCTCGCAAGATGGCACAGATGGCGGGCCGACAGCGTTGGATACTGTTCATGCAGTTGGCGCGCCAGTGTGACATCCTCTGCTTCCAGAGGCCACACTTCCGCGCCACAACGCACGACCAGAGTCATCGCAGCATCGAGAGTCGCCAGCCTTCCGGCCGGAAGGTATGCATGCGCCAGCTCTTGCAAAACCTCCGCCGATGTGAACAGCGGTGTGCGGTTTCGCATTGCTTCTATTAGAAAATCCCGCGCCTGAAGTCGCAGCGGATGAGGGCGCCCCACGGCGTACATGAAGACGTTGGTGTCTATGAAGGTCAAGTGCCGGACTCTCCCGCACTTCGAGAACGGCTGATGGCATCCAAGTGCTGCTCCCAGTCAGGTTCAGGCTTGTCGCCTTCCAGCCCGTCGCAGGCGCTGAAAAAGTCGTCAAGGTCCGCCTGAGAGGAAAATGGCTCAAGACTCTGTTGCGCCTTCAGCCGTTCGTGCGCGGCTGCCCTCAGCCAAGCGCTTAAAGTCATGCCTTCGACGCCCGCCTGATATGAAAAGCGTTCACGCTCCTCATCGGATATTATCAATTGGAATCTCGCCACGGCTTTCCCTCGTCCTTCTCAACCTATGTGTATAGACAATACACATTCCAAATTAGCGGGTCAACTTGCTGTCCCCTCACTTGACCCCTCTCGCCCTAAACCCGTATATTGACCCCAAACTTCTTATGCGTTCAATGCACGGCTGTGCGCTTGGCAATCAAAGCCTTCGCAGCCGTGCCAACACATTGATTTGGGAGGTCAATAATATGGCATTCGGAAGTGGCGACTTTATGTATGAAGTAGCGGAGGGCTGGGGCCAATCCCAGAAGGCTTCGAACTGAAGCAGGTTGCTGATGTCGCGGTGGACAGCAACGACAACGTGTATGTCTATAACTCGCGGGCACACACAACCTCATTATCTTCGACCGAGAAGGTAACTACCTCGATTCTTGGGACTTGCAGCACAAGGAGGCGCACGGTGTCTGCGTGGGTGAAAGAGGCAATGTCTATCTGGCAGACAGGGACTCGCATGTCGTGGAAAAGCGCGACCCGGAGGGAAATCTGCTGCTCACACTAGGCACGCGCGACGTGCCCTCGGACACGGGCGAGATCACGCGCTCCCTCGTGGAGAAGCCGGGCGGTCCCTTCAACCTGCCCACCGGAATCGCCATCGGCAGCTACAGCGACATTTTCATCTCCGACGGTTACGGCAACTGCCGCGTACACCACTACAACTCCACCGGAACGCACATGAAGTCCTGGGGCTTGCCCGGCAAAGACAACCCCGGCGACTTCCACCTGCCGCACGGTATCGGCGTTGACTCAGAGAACAGGGTTGTCGTCGCCGACCGAGAGAACAATCGCATCCAGGTCTTCGACGAGGATGGCGAGTTCCAATTCATGTGGACCGGCTTCCAGCAGCCCACGTCGGTCGCGTTCGGACCGGAAGGCGAGATATATGTCCCCTGAACTCCAGCACCGCGTCAGCATCATAGACAGCGAGGTAATCTGCTAGCGCGCTGGGGCGACGAGCACAGCCACGAGCCGGGCCTATTCTACGCCCCGCACGGCTTGGCAGTTGACTCGCACGGCGACATCTATGTAGCCGAAGTCCTCGAAGGCCAGCGTATCCAGAAGTTTATACGCCAGTAAGGGGTTTCATTTCGTCGCTGTTTCAGTCGGGAGACAGACAATCCCTACGATCTGACTAGCGTTTAGGAGATTATGGTTTGGAAGCAATCATAGGGATTGTCCTTGGACTGGTCGTTGGCTTGATTGTCGGCGCGCTGCTGATGAAGTTCAAGTCCGGCGGCGAAAGCGAAAGTTGGCGCGCTCAGGCTGAAGAGAGCAAGCTGGAAGTCACCAAGCTCCAGACCGAGTTTGAAAACTCCAACAGGCGTTTCGAGGCTGCCGAAAGTGAAATCGCGGCGCTGAAGAAGACGTCGAAAAGTGGCGGTCTCAGGCTGACGGGAACGCCGCCGAAAGCGTCAAGCTCCTCGCCAACCTTAATGCCGCCAACAAGCAGTTAGCAGAACGCGCCGACATTGAAAAGGTTCTGGGCGACCAGTTCAAGGTCATGGCAAACGAGGCGATCTCCAACAACAACGACGCCTTCGTCAAAGCCGCCGACGAGAAAATCGGCTTGATGGTCAAGCCGCTTCTGAAGAACTCAAGCGCATTGAGAAAGCCCGCGACGAATCGCAAGGCAGCCTCAAGCAGCAGCTGGAGTCGCTCGTCCAAAACAATAACAGCCTGACACAAGAGACGCGTAATCTGACCAATGCCCTCAAGCGCCCTGAAGTTCGCGGCTCATGGGGCGAAATGCAGCTTCGGCGTGTGGTAGAACTCGCAGGCATGTCGAATTACTGCGACTACGAAGAGCAGGTCAGCATCACAACCGACGATGGCAGCCGCGAGCGCCCCGACATGGTTGTGCGAATGCCAAACGAGCGTACTATCGTCGTTGACGCCAAGACACCGATGAACGCCTACATCACCGCTATGGAGTCGGACACCGATGTCGAACGTGAGGATGCAATCCGGCTGCACGCCAAACAGGTCAGGGAGCGCGCGCAAGACCTGTCGCAAAAGTCCTACTATCGTCTTTTCGACAGGTCACCCGACTTTGTCGTAATGTTCCTGCCCGGAGAGTTCCTGCTCCAGCATGCCCTGGAGCAAGATCACGATCTGATCGACTGGGCTATGCAGCGAAATGTGGTTATCGCGACGCCAAATACGCTAATGGCTCTGCTTAAAGCGGTTGCAATGGGCTGGCGAGAAGCGCAGATTGAAGAAGAGGCAGCGAAAGTTGCCGCTCTTGGGCAGGAACTCCACGACCGCATCAGAATATTCGCCGGTCACATGGTGAAGATGAGAAGTTCAATCAACTCCACCGTGGAGAACTTCAACAATGGTATTGGTTCTCTCGAATCCAGGGTGCTTACGTCTGCCAGAAGGTTCAAGGACATGGGCATCGCCACATCCCAGGAAATACCTGAACTCACCGAGATAGACTCGCAGACGCGGGACTTCAGGTCAGCACAGTTGCGTGCCCTTCCCGAGCCGAACGGCGTCGGCGACGACTGACGAATTACATACAATCCAACATATGGGAACTGATATACTGGCTAACTGAGACGCAAACCAACTGCCCACCCATTGGAGGCTAGGTAATGACTACCACCGGCGCAAAAACAGATCAGGCGATCATCGCGCCCTCTGCCGACGTCGAAGAAAAGCCCTGGTACGACCTCATGGACGACCCCGAACCGCCAGAGGACGCGATGCAGCAATTCAAAACCATACATGTTGTGATGTCCGCACTTCTGGCGCGCTATGAGAACGACCCCGATACTCTCGTCGCGGAACAGAGCAACCTCGTGTACGATTCGGCGGTGCGCGGCTCGGTCGTTGCCCCGGATGCCTTTGTCGTCTTTGGCGTGGACGCCGAATCAATAGAGCGAGGCCGCCGCAGCTACCGTATAGAAGAGTGGGGCCCGCCCCCCGCGTTCGTGCTTGAGGTGGCGTCCGAGAGCACGGCTGCGAGGGATCTGGGTGAAAAGCGCGATATATATGCGCGGATGGGCGCACAGGAATACTGGCGGCTGGACAGGACAGGCGAATACTACGGCGAGCCACTTGTGGGCGAGCGTCTGGTGAACGGCGAGTATGAGCGATTTGAGCTGCACACCGAAGCCAACGGCGATATATGGTCGCGCAGCGAGGTTCTGGATGTGGACTTCTACTATCGAGGTGAGGATGAGGCATTCGGCATTTTCATGCTGCGGGACAGTGTGACAGGCGAATGTCTGAATACTCTGGGACCAGAGCGCGAGGCACGGCTTGCGGCAGAAGCGCGGGCGCAAGCAACCGAAGCGCGCAATCGAGAACTTCAGGCCGAGCTGGACCGCCTGCGCGGCCAGCAGTGACCGAGCCTTCTAATCCGCCAAACTGATATACTGACTAACCGACATACCGAAACCCTATCCGAAGGAGACATACATTGAACGGCTACGAAGCAATGGCAAAAATACTGAAGGCAGAGGGCGTTGAATGGATTTCCTGCTTCCCGGCGCAGCCCCTCATCGATGCATGCTCGCGTGAGGGCATCCGCCCTATCCTGTGCAGGCAGGAGCGCGCCGGCGTCAACATGGCGGACGGATTCAGCCGCATCAAGAACGGCAAGAAGATTGGCGTCTTCACCATGCAGACCGGTCCCGGCGCCGAGAACGCATTCGGCGGCGTGGCGCAAGGTTACGCAGACTCCGTGCCGTTCCTCGCGATCCCGGCGGCAACCCTGCGGCGCGTCAGGGCGTCCATCCCAACTTCGAGTCCGTGCCCAACTATCAGGGTATCACCAAGTGGGCGGCGCTCATCAACATTCCGGAGCGCATCCCCGAGATGGTCGGGCGCGCAATGACTCAACTGAAGCACGGCAGGCTAGGCCCTGTGTTGCTTGAGTTCCCCGGCGACGTGGCAGCCGCCGAGTTCCCCGGCGAGCTGAACTACAAGCCCGTCGAAGTCCACAAATCCGGCGCGTCCCCCGAAGATGTCCGCGATGTCGTAGCAGCGCTGCTCGGCGCGAGCGGGCCCGTCATCAATGTAGGGCAGGGCGTCCTCTACGCAGAAGCGACCCCTGAGCTCATCGAGTTCGCCGAACTCACCGGCATCCCCGTAATGACCACACTCGCAGGCAAGAGCGCCTTCCCGGAGACACATGCGCTGTCGCTCGGCACGGGCGCATCGTCCGGCACGCTCATGTGCGCGCGCTTCCTCGAAAACGCAGACCTCGTTGCCGGCATCGGCACGAGCTTCACCATCTCCAACTTCAACGCTCCCATGCCCGGCGGCGTGACACTCGCGCACATCACAAACTGCGCTGAGGATATCAACAAAGACTACCGCACAGACTACGGCGCGGTCGGCGATGCCAAGGTAGTGCTGCGGCAGATGATTGAAGAGGCGAAGAGTCAAACTTGGTAATGCCGAGGGACGCGGCGATGTCCACGGCGTCCGCGATGAAATCAAGAAGATTCGCGACGAGTACATGGCAGAGTGGGGACCCAACTTCGTATCGGACGAAGTGCCCATAAGCCCTTACCGCGTCTTCAACGAGATGATGGCGAATGTTGACATCGCCAACACTATCGTAACCCACGACTCCGGCTATCCGCGTGAGCAGATTGTCCCGTTCTGGCCCGTAACCACACCGCGCGGCTACATCGGGTGGGGCAAGTCAACGCAGCTCGGTTACGGCTTGGGCCTCGCGCTCGGCGCGAAAATGGCAGAGCCCGACAAGACCGTCATTAACATCATGGGCGACGCCGCGTTCGGCATGGCGGGCATGGACATCGAGACCGCCGCTCGCTCCAACATCGGCACGCTCACCATCGTCCTGAACAACGGCGTGATGACGCACTACTACGACCACTTCCCGCACGCCACGGAGCACTGGGGCAGCAACAGGCTGGGCGGCGAGTACGCCAAGGTCGCAGAGGGCTTGGGCGCTTACGCAGAGCGCGTGGACTCCCCGGACGAGGTTAGCCCCGCCATCAGGCGCGCCCTCGAAGCCACGCAGAACAACCAGCCCGCCGTCCTCGAAATGATGACCAAGGAAGAGGAGAACATCTCCCGCTACTGGCGCTAAGAAACTAAGAAATAGTAAACAGAACAGAGCCACTCTCTTGAAAATCGAGAGAGTGGCTCTTTCTATTGAATCTTGTTAAACGCTGTCGGTTAGGCCAGGTGTTTGCCGAAGAAGTCGAACATCTTGTTCCAGCCGTCCACCGCCTGCTCCTGACGGTACGCGCCGCGGTCATAGTAGAAGAAGCCGTGTCCCGCCCCTTCGTACATATGGAACTCGTAGTCCTTCCCCGCGTCCCTTCAGCGCCTGCTCGTGCTGTGCTACTTGCTCCGGCGTCGGGCTCATGTCATCCGCGCCGAACAGCCCCAGCAGAGGGCATGACAGGTCGGTCGTGTAATCTATCGGCGCGACTGGCTGCTGCGGCGTCAGGTCGTCGGGACCCTGCACCACGCGCCCGCCCCAGCACTCCACCGCCGCGTCGAACGATGTCGAGCGGCAGGCGCACAGGAAGACTTGCCGTCCGCCTGAGCATGTCCCGAACACGCCCACCTTGCCGTTGGAGTACGGCAGCGAGCGTATGTAGTCGGCAGCCGCAGACATGTCGGCGACCACCTGATCGTCGGGCGCGCCGCCCTCGCCCCGCGCCATAGCCGCCACATCGTCCGGCGAGCCGTGCCCGAATCGGTGATACAAGTCCGGCGAAATGGCGAGGTAGCCGTGATGCGCGAACTTGCGGGTGAAGTCGCGGTACAGCTCGTCCCAGCCCGGCAGGTGGTGAATCAGCACCACCGCCGGAAACGGCCCGTCGCCCAGCGGCCGCGCGAAGTAGGTATTGATGGCATCCCCATTCGCCCCCTTTATTGTGATAGTCTCCGCTATCATCCCCTCATACATATCGGTCGTATAGTTGTGCGGCATAAATGCGTCTCCTTGTGTATGTGTGTGTGTCGAATATCTTGCCAAAGTCCAGTCACTATTAGACTGGAAGCGCCAATATAGTAATGCCAAACCCGATTTGGCGCAAATGACACTGTATAGAAGGATAGTTAACGCTTGTCTTAAGCGTAGGCACTGCCGCGCGCGATACATCCGCGTAGTGATGTAAAATGCAGAAGTTGAAACAATGACAGAATGGAGGCAGCCCAATGCACATAGCACGATTCTCGCTGAACGACCGGATACACTGGGGCATCGTCGAGGGCGACGAAGTGCGCGCCATTGAAGGCGACCTATACGACAGTCCACGCCCAGGACAGCGGCTATGCGCCCTCTCTGATGCGCGGCTCCTAGCCCCCATATATGCCCATGCCAACAAGGTCGTGGCTATCGCGGCGAACTACGGCGATAGAGCGGGACGCGACGGACCCGGCATCTTCATGAAGCAGCCCGGCACCGTCATAGGCCCCGACGACTCCATAATCTACCCGCGAATCGGTCGCCGCATCATCCACGAGGCCGAAGTCGGAATAGTCATTGGCAAGCAGGCGCGGCATGTCAGCGTAAGTGACGCGCTCGACTATGTGCTCGGCTACACCTGCGTCAACGACGTGAGCGCAAACGAACTCACCAACAACGATGTAGGCGCCGGCATGAGCCTGCGGTGGAAGCACTTCGACACATTCTGCCCGCTCGGTCCCGTAGTTGCAACGGACATAGATGGCGACAACCTACGCATTCGGTGCCGCGTGAACGGGCAGACCCAAGTCGACGGCAATAGCGCCAACATGCTCTGGGGCGTTGCCGAGCTTGTGAGTTGGGTGTCTGACGTGATGACGCTATACCCCGGCGACATCATCCCCAGCGGCTGCCCGGCGTCGCGAGATAACATCGGCGATGTGTCGAGGTCGAGGTCGAAGGAATCGGCATCCTCAGCAACCCCGTCATAGCGGACACCGCCTAAACCTAATATGACCCTTCCGTGTTGCAGATGGCTTATGTCAAACTGCCTTAACGGAGTGCGGCACACTTATCTCGACTTCGACCATGCCGAACCTTGGCGGAAACTCAGGGTCGTTGGTGCCGTCAACTTCTCCGAACTCGGCGAGAGACTGCTTTACACACTCAGGAAGAGGTTGGTTGTGGAAAGCGATTGCCTGCTCTATGGACATTTGGGGCTGCGGTAACGGCTCGCCGCATTCCAGCATGTCCTCGATGTGGTAGGTAATCGCCTCCTTGATCATCTCCTGCATCTCTTCCCAAGTATCGCCGACGCTTACGCAGCCAGGCAGATCTGGCACGTATGCGCCGTAGTTATTCGGACTTCGCTCGAACACCACTGCGTATTTCTGTTTCATTTGTCCTGCCCCTCAATCCCCACCATCCTCTCCATCCTGTTAGCTCCTGTCGCTACACCCTCCCCGCGATGAAGTCCGCCATACGCTCGCCAATCATCATCGTCGTCACATTCGTGTTCGCGCGGATGCAGTCCGGCATCACCGAGGCGTCCGCTACGCGCAAGCCCTCCATGCCATGCACGCGCCCGTGCTGGTCAACCACCGCCATCGGATCGGACGCCGGTCCCATCTTGCAGGTGCATGAGATGTGATGCCCCGTCGTCGCATCGCGCATCATCCAGTCATCCAGCGCGTCGTCCGACGCAAGCTCCGAGTCAGTCGGCTCGATTCGCTCCTCGATGATGTCCTTAAACGACTCATGCTCGCCCAGCCTGATGGCGCGGTGAATGCCCTCGCGCATTCTCACACGGTCGAACTCCTCCGCGAAGTAGTTATAGTTCAGGAACGGCTGCACGTTGGGATCGGTAGATGTGAGCTTCAACTCGCCCGAACTTTTCGCAAGGTAGATTGACACAACCGCGCGTATGCCCAGTGGTTCCATCCGTCCGCCGCCGCGATCAACGCGCTCAGTGGCAACGACTGGAATATCATAATCATGTCGTTGCGAAGGTCGCTCCCCTCCGCCGTGTAGCGCAGCACCATCTGGTTACGCGGCGCAAGCCCGTCCAGCTCGAAGCCCTCCTTCGTCTTCCATGTAATCCAGACGATAGGATGGTCGCGTAGGTTCTGCCCCACGCCTGGCATATCATGCACCAGCGGTATGGCCGAACTCTGCGAGTGCGCCGCAGGCCCACGCCCGACAGCATCAGTATCTGCGGTGAGCCTATTGCGCCCGCGCTCAGCACAATCTCGTCGGCGAACACCTCGAAAGTCTCGTCCTCCGCTCTCCCACCTGCACGCCCACCGCGCGCTTGCCCTCGAACAGGATGCGCTGAGTAGCGCAGTTCGCGCGAATCGTCAGGTTCAGCCGATGCCGCGACATCCCCAGGTAGCCGATGTTCGTGCTCCAGCGTATGCCCTGCGGATTGTTGAAAGGCGTAGGCTGATGCCGTCGAGTCGGGATTGTTCAGGTCCGGGCTGTCCGGATGTCCGTCGCGCCATTGCATGCCTCAGTAGAACGCCTTCTGCGCCGGCAGCACTCGTCCTGCTTGAAGCGCCGCGCGATGATAGGCCCGTCCGTGCCGTGGAAGTCGTCTGAAAAGTCCGTATCAGTCTCCAGCTTGCGGAAGTACGGCATCAGCTTGTCGAAAGTCCAGTCGTCGTACCCATCGCCGCCCAGCCGTCGTAGTCACTCGGCACGCCGCGCAGGACATCGCCGTTGATCGCGCTTGAGCGCCGTAACCTTGCCGCGCTGCACCATCATGGGCTGCTCAGCGCGTGGCGTCGGCTGCCCCCAGAACTGCCAGTTGTGGTCGCTGACCATCACATCAGTGCCGGTGGCATAGCACGTAGCGCACCTCGTCCGGCAGTCATGTCATCTCCGCGTAGTCCCGGTCGCCTCCAGCAGCAGCACCGACTTGCTCGGATCCTCGCTCATCCGCGCAGCAACGATAGCCCCCGCCGATCCCGCGCCAACAACGATGATGTCGTACTTCATGACTCGCCCTCCGTTGATTCGTCTATGATTCTTCAGATCTTCGCGCAGCTTGGCGACCTTACGCTGAACGAGACGACGGTGTTCTGGCGTTTGGTTCTTGGTCAATTCGCGGAAGCTGTGGCGTCCACTCATTAGGTTGACCCCTCTCTTCGCAACTCATCAATGTGTTCATCATAAAGACTGTCGGCAATGGGAAGATATACTTCATAGAAGCGATTATCGCCGGTCTTGTCTCCACCAATCAATAATATCGCTACTCGACGCGGGTCGAAAGCGTAGAAAATACGGATTGGACGACCACCGCTCTGGACTCTCATTCTCTCATTCGCCATGGCCGAGAACCCGTATCCCTGATGAATACGAACGACATCATGGGACCGTTCATCTTCAAGGAGAGTGACCACAGCCTCAATATCGGCTCGTTCGACGTTGATATAGATCCTCTCCCACCACTCTCGCCAAACTGTCAGTATATTCAACGCCTCCAAACCATGCAACCACTTGATCAAATATCTGATTAGATGCGATGGTATATGCGGTGCGTTTGGGCGTCAAGGACGCGAACATGTCTACATCGCCGTATGTAATCCGCAATCCGCTCCCCTATCATCATCGTCGTTACATTCGTGTTCGCGCGTACGGTGTCCGGCATTACGGAAGCGTCCGCCACCCTCAGCCCATCTATACCATGAACCCGCCCGCGCTGGTCCACAACATTCATCGGATCGCTCGCAGGCCCCATGCGGCAGGTGCTCGTCAGGTGCTGCCCGGTCGTAACCTCGCGCAGCATCCAGGCGTCCAGCGCGTCGTCCGATTCCAGGTCCGAGTCGAGCGGTTCAGTCCGCTCCTTCACCATCGCCACGAGTTCGGGATGATTGAAAGTATCCACTGCCATCCGCACCACCTCGCGCATGCGCCGTCTGTCCTCCGGGTCTTCCAGCAGGTGATAATCGAGGAACGGCTGCACATACGGGTCGCTCGATGTCAACGTGATTCTGCCCTTGCTCGCGGCTAGGTAGATCGAGCCTGTGATGCGGATACCAAGGGGTTCCATGCGGTCGCCGCCCCGGTTGATGCGCTCGGACGCGAACGACTGCATCCACATCATCATGTCGTTGGGGCGCTCCGAGCCTGTCGCCGTGTAGCGCAGTCCAACCTGAATGCGCGGCGCAAGCCCGTCCAGGTCCACATGGTCATGCACGCTAGCAGTGATGAATATCAACGGATGGTCGCTGAAGTTGCGTCCCACGCCGGGCAGGTCATGCACCACCGGGATGCCCATCTCCTGAAGGTGGTCGGCAGGCCCCACGCCCGACAGCATCAGCAGCTGCGGGTTAGCGATGGTGCCGCTGCTGAGGACTATCTGATCCGCCTCAGCGATGAACCGCTCGCCGCCGCTCTCCACATCGACGCCGGTAACTCGCTTGCCGTCGAATAGCAGGCGGTGCGCCATGCAGTTCGCCCTGATGGTCAGGTTCAGGCGGTGGCGCGCCTGGCTCAGGTAGCCCACATTCGTACTCCAGCGTATGCCATCGGGATTGTTGCACGGGAACGGCCCCACGCCATGCGCGTCCGGCGCGTTCAGGTCCTCTACGATGGGGAAGCCTGCGTCTATGCAGGCGTTGTAGAACCCTGTCTGCGCCGGCAGCCATGTCTCGCGCTTGAAGCGGTGGCATATAATAGGCCCCTCAGTGCCGTGAAAGTCGTCGGAGAAGTCGGTGTCCGTCTCAAGTTTGCGGAAAAAGGGCAGCACATTCTCGAACTTCCAGTCATCGTTGCCATAAGCAGCCCAGTCGTCGAAGTCGTGTGTCTGGCCGCGCAGGAAGACCTGTCCGTTGATTGCGCTGGTGCCGCCCGTAACTTTGCCGCGCGGCACCAGCATCGGCTCGGTGACGTCATTGCCCTTGCCTATGAACTGCCAGTTGTGGTCGTCACTCACCATGATGTCCGTGCCGGTTGCATAACCGAACTTCAATTCCTCCGGCAGCACATCGAGGTCAGGATAATCCGGCCCCGCTTCAAGCAGCAGCACGGAACGGTCGGGGTCTTCCGAGAGCCTTGAGGCGACGACACCTCCGCCTGAGCCTGCGCCTATGACGATGACATCGTATTTCATGACTCTCCTCTTTTCTTCTATTCGGTTGCCGTCTTTATTCCGCAACACTATATCAAACATTGCTAATTCACATAGAGGATAAATAGGGTGAACTTGGGGTAAAATATCCTATATATCCTGCACATAAAGGTAAGCCCTGTTAAAGAGGAGATTTGAATGTCATTGACCCAGGAGCTTCGCGCAGCCAACGTCGAGCTGTGGGAGCGCATGGTCACTCACCCCTTCGTCGAAGAGATGGGCGACGGCACGCTGCCACCGGAGAAGTTTCGCCGCTATTTCCTGCAGGACTATGTGTTCGTGAAGGACCTCGTGCCGATGATAGCCCTCGGCGCGGCGAAAGCGCCCAGCATCGAGGACGGCTACCCGCTCGTAAAGTTCCTTGCGGCGCTTGGCCCCGAGAACGACCTGTTTCAGCGCGCCTTCGCAGAGCTTGGAGCCAGCGAAGCAGAATATTCAGCTGCTAGCGCGACTCCCTCAACTCAGGCATTCGGCGACTTCATCATGCGCACGGCGCTGCAGGGTCAATTCATCGACATTATAACCATCATGTATGTAACCGAAGGCACATACCTCGACTGGGCAACGCGCCTGCTGGAGGCCGGCAGACGCCCCGACACGCCCAAAATCTACGCTGAGTGGATTGACATACACGGCCCTGAAGTGCTCGGTGAGCTGGTGGAATGGCTACGGGACTTCATCGACAACGCTGACATCGGCAATCGCCGCCCTGAAATCGAGCGTATCTTCCGCACCACGCTGCGCTACGAGTACCGCTTCTGGCAGTCCGGCTACCACGGCGAAGAGTGGACTGATGGGACTAACGCATCCCTTATATCCAGTTGATCCATGTAAGACTTCCGGCTTATCGAAGGACCTGACCAAATGAAAACGGTAATGACCATCGCAGGCAGCGACTCAGGCGGCGGCGCAGGCATACAAGCCGACCTGAAGGCGTTCGCCGCGAACGGAGTGCATGGCACATCCGCAATCACCGCTATCACGGCGCAAAACACCGTCGCCGTAACCGATGTGCTCGCACTCCCGCCGTCTCTCGTGGCGAACCAGATTGACGCCATCATCGACGACATCGGCGCGGACGCAGTCAAGACGGGCATGCTCCCCAACGCCGCCATCATCGAGACGGTGGCAGACCGCATCCGCGCGCACTCGCTGAACCCTGTGGTGATAGACCCTGTCATGGTGACAAGCAGCGGCACCAGGCTGCTTGAAGACGCCGCCGTGGAAGCGATACGCAGCAGGCTGATGCCGCTTGCGACGCTCGTTACACCGAACACTCGCGAAGCCGCCGTGCTCACGGGCGAACAGATAGTTACGCTAGACGACATGCGCCGCGCTGCCCGCTATCTGGCAGAATCGACAGGTGCGAGCGCCGTTCTGGTCAAGGGTGGGCACTTCGACGGTCCCGCGACCGACATCCTCTATGACGGCAGCGATTTCTTCGTGTTCACCGAGGAGCGCATCGACACCACGAGCAACCACGGTACAGGCTGCACTCTGGCATCAAGCATAGCCGCGAACCTCGCCAAGGGCGCCGACCTGCCCACCGCCGTTGCCAATGCCAAGTCGTATGTAACCAACGCCATGCGCGCCGCAACCCCCATCGGCGCAGGTCACGGCCCGCTGAACCACTTCTATATGCTGGGTAGCGATGAATGATGTGGGTGGACGGAACATTGACTGACAATCCATTCTGCGAGGTCTGACATGACTACAACTACAAAGCAGCGTATAACTACCGCTGAAGAACTAATGGATATGCCGGGCGACGGCCATAGGTACGAACTTGTTAGAGGGGAACTGCGGAAGATGGCTCCTGCGGGCAGCGAACACGGAGAGGTAGCGTCTGATATAAATGCCAGTTTGAATCTCTATGTCAAGGCAAATGGATTAGGTAGGACTTACGCCGCCGAAACCGGCTTCTTTCTGGGGACCGACCCTGACCATGTTCGCGCTCCCGATGTTGCCTTTGTCCGGCGGGAGCGCACAGAAGCGATAGGCCGTCCCGATGGATACTGGCCCGAAGCACCTGATTTGGCTATTGAGGTCATCTCCCCGAACGATCGCTACACCGAGGTTGATGAAAAAGTCGCTGACTGGCTCGCGGCAGGCACGCGCATGGTAGTTGTGGTAAATCCGCGCAACAAGACCGTGAAGGTGCATCGCTCGCCAACTGATGTCGCAACGCTGACGATAGCCGACATCCTCGATGGCAGTGATGTCGTACCCGGGTGGCAGATGCCCATCACCGACATCTTTGCCAACTAACACGAACGAAGGCGTCGATTTTTGACCGACCGACTCATCGACACACTAAAACTCACCGCAAAGAAAGAAGAACAACTGATGAAAGAATCCGTAGGTATAGGACTGCTGGGCATGGGCGTGGTTGGCGGTGGCGTGGCAAGCGTTCTAGGTGACAAATCCGCGCTGCTGGCGAAATTGGCAGGCGCGCCGCTGAAGCTGCAAGGCGCGCTTGTGCGCGACCTCAGCAGGCAGCGGGCCGCAAGCCTGCCCGATGGCGCGCTCACAACTCACGCCGATGACATCCTGGACAATCCCGATGTGGACATCGTCGTGGAGGTCATCGGCGGCGAGCAGCCCGCGCTCGACTACATCCTCAAGAGCATCTCGCTCGGCAAGCATGTCGTAACCGCCAACAAAGAGGTGATGGCAAAGCACGGCGCGAAGATCCTCTCGCACGCACAGAAGCACGGCGTGCAGGTGCTGTTCGAGGCGAGCGTCGCCGGTGGCACTCCCATAATCGCCCCACTGCTGCGCGACCTCGTGGCGAACGAAGTCGTCAGCATCAACGGCATCATCAACGGCACGACCAACTACATCCTGACCAAGATGGCTCAGGAAGGACAGGACTTCGGTGTCGCGCTCGCAGCAGCACAGGAACTGGGCTACGCCGAATCTGACCCCACCAACGACGTCGAAGGCATAGACGCCGCCTACAAGCTCGCAATACTCTCCACGCTCGCATTTCGCGCCCGCGTGAGCGACGCCGATGTGTACAGCGAAGGCATAACGCATCTGACAGCGCAGGACTTCCGCTACGCAAGCGAGCTTGGTTACGCCATCAAGCTGCTCGCCATCGCAAGTAAGACGGATGGCGCGGTCCACGTGCGCGTACATCCAGCGATGGTACGCTCCGACGTGATGCTGGCGAAGGTTGACGGCGTGCTGAACGCCATCGAAGTGCAGACCGACCTCGCCGGGCGCGTGCTTTTCCATGGGCGCGGCGCAGGCGACATGCCCACGACCAGCGCAGTCCTCGCCGATGTGATGGACATAGCGCGCAACATAGTCAGCGGAATCGAAGCCCCGCCGCTGCCATCACTCACCGCCGACGTGCATATAAGCCCCATGGATGCGCTCGAAACGAAATACTACATGCGCATGAATGTAGTGGAGCGCCCCGGCGTCTTCGCGCAGATACTCAAGGTGCTCGGCGACCTCGACATCAGCATCGCATCCGCTATCCAGAAAGAGACCGACGACGACGCCCGCCGCGCCGAGATAGTCCTCATGACGCACCGAGCGAAAGAGGCATCCGTGCAGGCCGCGCTCCAAGCCATCGACAAGCTGCAAGTCGTCAACGAAATCGGCAGCCTCATCCGCGTCGAAGAGTGGGACTAGCTGAAATTGACGAAATTGTGAGATTTGGACCTTTCAGGAATTCTCTCGAGCGAGATTACCCACCTGGCATTCGCGCTAATCATTGGAGTGCTTGCTATGGTGAGAGTGGTCATGTTGCTGATGATGTTGAACAGATGGCTCCGCAGGGGGTTCGGAAGGTAATGACGGGGATAGAATATTGACCAGCGAACGCCACCCTCCACATCAGCCCTCTCACGCCAACGGACGCCGATGAACTGCTGACATTCATCCGGCAGGTCCAGCGCGATGACCCTCTGCGTCCGGTCACCGTAGTCGCCCCCAGCAACTACGCATTGCTCTCCCTGCGCCACAGACTCGGTCGCTCAGGATTCGCCAATGTGCAGTTCATGGTATTCCCCCGCCTTGCCGAGCTTCTCGGCGCGCCATCGCTCTCAGCGCAGGGCAGGCGTCCGCTCACATCCATATTCGACAGCGCTGTCGTGCGCGATGTCGCCTCCGAAGCAAAGGGCATCCTTGAACCGTTGCGCGATCACCCATCCACGCACTTGAGCCTGCGCCAGACCTTCCGGCAGATGCGCCACGCGACCGATGCAGCCCTCGACAACCTTGCCGCACAGGGCGGACTGCGCGCCGAGACAGTCGCGCTATTCCGCAGATACCGCGAGCGCATACGCGACTACTACGATGACGAAGACCTTGCCGAAGCCGCTGCTGCCGCTGTTCGCAATGACGACGCACCCGGGCTGAAAGACCTAGGCTTCATCGTTTTCTTCCGTGTACGCGGTCTCACACCGGCGCAGCGCATTCTCGCGCATGCGCTTGCAGAGGATGGACGGTGCGCCATGCTTCTCGGCAAGACCGGCGACGAGCAAGCAGACCAATCCACACATGCGTTAGCCGGCGACTTGCGTCCTGTACTTAGCGAACCGCAAACGCCCGCAGATGCACAGTCAAACGCACCCACCGAGAGTCCGCATATCCTGATTGCGCCCGATGCCCATCAAGAATTGCGCTGGGTCATACGGCGCATCATGCAGCGCGCCCGAGTCGGGCACGCCCTTCCATCGCATGGCGGTGCTGTACCGCAAGGAAGCGCCGTATGGCACCCTCATACGAGAGGAACTGACTCTTGCGAACATACCCGTCGCCGGCCCGAATCCCGCATCGCTCGCCGATACCGCGGTGGGCAGCACGCTCCTCGGACTGCTGAGTCTGCACGAAGCCGACTTCGCGCGAGACGTTGTAATGGCATGGCTCACCGGCTGCCCGCTCAAGCCGCCGCCCGGCATAGACGCTGCATCCTTCAACCCGACTCTGTGGGATACCGTATCGAAGCGCGCGAATGTGGTTCGTGGGTCTGTGCAATGGGAACAACGCCTAAGTCAGTACGCCGATAACCTGGATCGAGAAGCTGCTGACCGACAAGGCGAGCTTTCCGAGGCGCGCGCTGAACGAATGCGCTCAGACGCCGCAATCGCGCGTCAACTGCTGCACTTCATAACTGATCTCATGCAGAAGGCATCACCACCCGTTGATCACTCTTGGAGCGGTTACTCCGACTGGGCTAAGGAATTGCTTGGCAGTTACCTAGCAGACAACCTCCCGCAGGCCGAGCAGCGCACGTACGACAGAATTGAACGCGTCCTGAATGAACTGAAGTCGGCAGACGAAATCTCGCAGGATGTAACTTTCGAGGTATTCCGCCGCGCGCTCAACGAGGCGCTGCAAGCGTCCGTCGGGCATCTCGGTTCAGTCGGGCACGGCGTATTCGTCGCCCCGTTGAAACTTGCAGCCGCTATGAGCTTCGATGCGGTGCATATCGTCGGCATGATTGAGGGCGCAGTCCCGCCCGCCGTCCGCGACGACCCGCTCATTCCGGAGCGAGATCGCGAGCGCGCAGGCGGCGCGGCAGCAGGTCTGCCCCTTCAGCAGCAGCGCAAGGACGACGAACGATACGACTACCTCGCTGCGCTCGCCACCGCACCGGAGCATACGTTGTCCTACCCCGTCGCTGATCCCGCGGGGCAACGCGGCAACTATCCCTCGCGCTGGCTTCTGGAACAGGGCATCGCAGCTCGAAGGCATCCCCGTGTTCGCCTCCACACTGCCGCAGCTTGGTCGAAGACCATGGATGACAATCATCACCTCAATGCGGCACTCCCTGACAACAACGCACACCTCAGCGCACGCCGACACGCACGACTACAACATGGACCGCCTTCAAACATGGAATACGGCGGGTCTGCGTGCTGACCTGCATCCCCTCACCGAGGATACTTTGCTCGCGTCGGCGTTTAGTCTAAGCGCTGCCAGACAGGGCAGAAATTTCACTGAATGGGACGGCAACCTCAGCGCGGCAGGCGCAAACTTCGCTGGCATTCTGGGCAATCGTCCGCTTTCGCCCACCAGCCTCGAACGCTGGGCGAAATGTCCCTTCAGCTACTTCCTGGGAACGATATTGCGCCTCAGCGCTGAAGACCGGCCCGAAGACATCTACGCCATCACACCGCTGGAGCGCGGCTCGCTCGTGCATGACATCCTTGAAAAGTTCGTCAATACAGCGCGCGCGCAGAACAGCCTCCCGGCGCCGACCGAAGCATGGAGCGAAGACCATCACCGTGAATTGCGCCGCATCGCTAATGAACACTTCAAGGAAGCGGAAGCGCGCGGTGTAACAGGCAAGTCTGTGATGTGGCAAATTGCGCGAGATGAGATGCTCATAGACCTCAGCGCATTCCTCGACGCCGACCTGCGGATGCGCCAGCAGTTCGGCGTATCGCCCATAGGTGTGGAAGCAGAGTTCGGCATGAGCAGTGAAGGCTGGGATCCGGCCGCATATACGCTCTCAGACAACTCGCAGGTGAGCTTTCGCGGCAAGATTGACCGCGTTGACGCCGATAGCGACCACAACAATGTTCTGGTGCTCGACTACAAGACGGGCAGCGACTATTCGTACCGCAAACTGAAGGACGACCCCATAGACCGCGGCCAACACCTGCAGCTTGCCATCTACGCACTGGCGGCGCGGCAGGCGCTCGGCGCCCACACACTTGGCAAATATCCTGCCGTAAGCGCGGCGTACTGGTTCGTAACGGGAAGGGGCAACTTCGCTCTTATGCCCTCGTCGCCCGTCAGCATCGGCAACGACGATGTGGCTGCCCGCTTCGAGGATGGCATATCGACCATAGTCGGCGGCATCCGTCAGGGCCTGTTCCCCGCGAACCCGGGCGATCCTGACAGGGGCAGTTTCGCTAACTGCCGCTTTTGCGACTTCAAGTCCCTCTGCCCGTCAAGACGCGATGTGCAATGGCGCCGCAAGAGCCAGGCACCGGCGCTGTCTGAGTATGTGCGCCTGACAGACGGCGAATAGAAAGTCCCTTCCCCCTCGATGGGGGAAGCTGGATGATGCCCCGTGATCTCCATAGATATCACTGACGAGTGAACGGTACATTCAAACCCCAGGACAACGAAGCGCGCAATACCATCGAGCATGCGCTTAACGAGACGCTGTTCGTGGAAGCGGGCGCTGGCACGGGCAAGACCACAAGCCTAGTGAACCGCATCCTTGAACTCGTGGGCAGCGGCGCAACCACGCTCGACAAGGTGGCGGCCATCACCTTCACCGAAGCGGCGGCGGCAGAACTGCGTGAGCGCATTCGCACCGAACTCGAAAGAGCCGCCGAAAACGCCTCGCTCAGCGACGACAGGCGAAACCTGTGCAGACAGGGCGTAGAGCAGCTCGACAGCGCCAGTATCCAGACGCTGCACAGCTTCGCCGGCTCGCTCTTGCAGGAGCGGCCGCTCGAAGCAGGTTTGCCCCCGTCGTTCGACACGATGGACGCCATCGAAAGCGACCTCGCCTTCGAGGAATCATGGGCGCAGTGGATTGACGCCGCGCTTGATGACGCTGCGCTGCAACCGTATTTCCTAATGACCTTCTCACTCGGCCTGACCATTGACGGCCTGCGCGAGATTGCCCTGAAGTTCCATGAAAACTACGATCTGCTCGCCGATGTCGCCTTCGCTGCCGAATCTTCTCCCAATACAGGCGCATCTTCGGCGGCGGGAATGCTGACAGACTCCATATCCGAACTCGAAGCGCTATGTCATTACTCACTGCTCGGCGACGAGGATGTACTGTACGCGCACACGCAGGCTAACTCACATCCATACGGCGGCTGACAACCCTCGACGAGGTATCACCCGCCACCTATCGCCTTATGTCGCGCATCCTGCCCCTGCGGCAACGCAGTGGTCGTCAATCCGACTGGGGCAAGGACGCCCTATCCGGCGAGAACGCCTGCAAGACCCTGAAAGCCCTGCTGCTTGAGCTGGACGCCAATGTCAGCGATTCATTGGCACATGCGCGTACAGCAGCGCTGGTGCCATTGCTAACCGCGCTCAGGGCATTCGTGCTCAACTACGCCGATGAGCGCAAGCGGCAGGGACGCGCAGGCTTCCACGACCTGCTCGTCTGGGCGCGAACATGCTGCGCGACAACCTCGACGCCCGCGACCACTTCCGCCGCCGCTTCTCGCACCTGCTCATCGACGAGGTACAGGACACCGACCTGATTCAGGCGGAAATCGCGATGTTCCTCGCAGAAGCCGTTCCATCCAACACGCCCGTCGAGAAGAGACCCTGCGACTGGCAGACAATCACGCCCGAGCGCGGCAAATTGTTCGTGGTCGGCGATCCCAAGCAGTCCATATATCGCTTCCGCCGTGCAGATGTACGCCAGATGCGCCGCCTGCAAGAGCGCATGAACGGCGAGACCCTCCAACTTGTGCAGAACTTCCGCTCACAGCGCCCCGTCGTGGAGTGGGTGAACACGCTCTTCGGCAAGTGGATGGCGCAGGACGGCGGCGAGCAAGCGGAGTACACGCCTATCACGCACCGCTGGACCGCAGATACCGCGCATTCTGCCGCCCCGCAAGTATGGGCGCTCGGCAAAGAGGCGGACGGCATCATTGCCGAAGTGCGCCGCCATGAAGCCGCAGACATCGCGACTCTGCTGCATCAGATTGTCGGCGAGCAATGGCAAGTCCTCGACTCGGACGAGCCTGTTGACGACTCCGGCAACGAGCGCTACAAGGACGCAAAATACTCCGACATCTGCATCCTGATGCCCACGCGCACCGCTCTCCGCACGCTGGAACTCGCGCTTGACGACGCGAACGTCCCTTATCGGCTGGAGGGCGCATCCCTCTTCTTCGACACGCAGGAAGTGCGCGACCTGCTCAACTGCCTACGCGCAATCGACGACCCTTCGGACGAGGTGTCGATTGTAGCTGCCCTGCGCTCGCCCGCATTCGCCTGCACAGACATCGACTTGCTGCAATTCCATCAGGCCCGCCGCACTTTCAACTATTTGTCGCATCAAGGTTCTCGACAGTCAGTCGAAATCGGTGTGAGTAAGGTCGCCGATGCCCTCGAAGTGCTGCGCCGCTCCCATGACAAGCGCATGTGGACAGCCACCGCCGCGCTCATAGACGGCTTCCTTCGCGACCGCCTTCTAATGGAATCGGCAATCGGGCAGCCGCGCACGCGCGAGCAGTGGCGACGCTATCGCTTCCTTGTGGAGCAGGCGCGCGCATTCGCGTCAGCAGGGCGGCAACTCGCTGCGCTCATTCCTTGAGTGGGTGCAGCGCCAGGCCGATGAGGGCGCGCGCGTTACCGAGACGCCCGTGCCGGAATCGGACGAGGACGCTGTCCGCATCATGACCGTGCATGCATCAAAGGGGCTGGAGTTCCCCGTTGTCATTCTGACCGGCCTGAACACCGGCCGCAACGCTCGCGTAGATAGAGTCATATTCGACGACGGCAATGTCGAGGTAGGCGTTGGCAGCGGCAATAGCATCTTCCAGACGGCAGGGCTACGAAGAGAAGGTCGATCAGGAGAAAGTGCTTGACGATCACGAGCATGTCCGCCTCCTCTATGTGGCGACCACACGCGCCCGCGACCACCTCGTGCTGAGCATGCACCGACCAGCAAAGAGCAATGCCAATTTGGACTCCACAAGAATCTCGGCGCTGCTCGAAGACCATGACGACTTGTGGAAGCAAGTCGAGTTGCAGCCTGAACATCAGGTACGGGCAATGATTCAGGAAACGCAGGACGCCGCACAGTCCCAGCAGCCCTTCGACGCGCAGAGCACACCTTGAAAGCGCGCGACGATTGGCAGAGCAAGAGGCAGGAAGTTATCATCACACAAGGCAAGCCCGCATCGGTCGCCGCGACCCGTCTCGCTGGCGTAACCAAGGACGAAGCGGACGCCGACAGCGGCGCAGAGGACATGCACGCATCTCGGCGTGGACGCGGCGGCGCGGCTCTCGGCAGGGCTGTGCATGCCGTCTTGCAGTCCATTGACCTCGAAACGGGCGAGGGCATCGACGCAACCGCGCGCGCGCAAGCCGCCGCCGAGGGCATACCTCAATTGCAGTCTGAGGTTGCTGCGCTCGCGTCGACGGCAGTCAACAGCGACATCGTGAGGCGCGCCGTATCATCCGGACGCTACTGGCGTGAGGCGCTTGTCGCGGCGCCCATCGGCGAGGGCGTGCTCGAAGGCTTCATTGACCTGCTCTTCGAGGAGGACGGCGAACTCGTCGTCGTTGACTATAAGACCGACAACATAAACGCCAACGCAGCCGAATACATCGCTAACAACCGATACCGCGAACAGGCCGGCAGCTACGCGCTCATCACCGAACGCGCCACGCAAAAGCCCGTCAAGGACGTGGTATTCCTCTTCCTGCGCCCCAAGAGCGAGCACAGCATGGAAGACTTAGAGTCGTTGAAGGTCGAACGCGAAGTTTCAGGCAGAGGAATACCTGCAGAGACAACCGGCGTAGCCCAGGATGAAATCCTGTGTATCTTGTTAGATCAGGGCGGTATCACACTCGTCTCAGGAGACGGTCATACTCGTGGTGCGGACCTATCCAGAACCAAATAATGTAGCTGTCCTCGACGACTCCCACAGCGCGATAGTCTATGTTCACGCGTACTGAGTACGTCGGACTCCGCCGTCCCACGCGCTTGAAGTCTAGGCTCGGATGCCGCGGGTTTAGTGAGAAGAACCGATATGCCTCGCGCGCCTGCCGTTTCACGTTCTCAGGAAGCCGACGATAGGCATCCCAAAATCTCGGCAGCGTATATGAGCGCACGCTTAAAGGTCTTCTAGATTGAGCATCTCCGTCTTGCCGGCTCTGTGCGCCTCACGGGCTTCAGATGCCATACGCTCAAGGAAGTCTTCGGATTCGGGGCGGCTGAAGAGTTCTTCCCACTGCCGCTCAGACTCAAGCTCTGCTAGCAGGAAGCGAGCGAAGGCTTCCTGCCGGTCTTCCGGCAACTCTGCGGCTTTATAGAAAGCCTGTTGAAGAATCTCGGTCATAGTCATGGTCTCGTCCCTAATGCATGCTCTTTTGCGGCTAGAGTGTAGCACATCGAGTCGGCTAACAGAGTTTTTGTCCTCACGCCAACTTCCTCTAAGAGATGGGGATCATCCTGTCAGCCCTAGTCCCAGATACTCCGCATCTGCCAGATATCGAACGAAGCCAGCCGCGCACTGCTGCCGCGCGCGAACACCGACACGCCGCTGCTGTCCTCGCGCTCCGGGTAGGTTCGCAGCGTCAGGCACTGCCGGTCGTTGGCGAACACCTCCACGATACTGCGGTCAACGAATATGCGAAGCCTCAGCGGTTCGCCCTGGGCCATCTTAATCGGTCCTATCTCCGGCGTCCGTGCGAACACATCCGGGTTCACCGAACCCTCCGAGATGTCAATCTGCATCGAGCTCGTATCGAAACGGCGATGGTCCTGCGGATAAAGCGATATGCGCGTCCGCTCCGCGCCATCCGACGACCGCAGCACATACAAGCCCACCTCGCGGGCGTCCCCCGGCTCGATCACCGCCTCAACCTCCACCGCCTTGCCGCCCACACCATCCAGCACGACTCTCGTTCGCCGGTATCTCCATCGGCGCAAACCTGCTTGTGGTCGTATCGCAGCGACTCCACATCGCCCGCGACCGACATCCCCAGCGTTCCATCGTCCGCCAGCCAGTAATAGCGCGGCAGAGACATGATGTCAACCCAACCTGCAGGAGGCTTGCCCTCCTTTACATTGAATATCGCGGTGAAGCGCCCGTCTGGGCCGATGGCGGCGGACGGCGCATGCAGGCTGCCCACCATCCACGGCCCGTAGTTCATCCTGTCGTGCGAAATCCGGCGTGAACTCTTGCGTATCCGGATCATAGTCGCCGATGTAGCATCTCCCCGAACGCTTGTGGCTGAACAGCAGCAGCATGTGCTTGCCGCTCGGCTTGCCGTCGATGTCGCTCAGCGGCCAGAACACCGGCACGGCTTGGTCCTCGCCGCGCTCCGCGTAAAACTTGTCCTCAAGCAGCGCACCTATATGCTCCCACTCCGCCAGGTCATTCGAGCGGAACAGGTGGTCAATCCCCTGGCAGTCATACCCCCGCACGCCGTCCTTATATGTGCCCGACAGCGAGTAGTAGTAGCCGTTATCCTGCTTCCAGATGCACGGGTCGAACACGCGATACGGCAATCCGTTCTCGTCTATCGGCACGATGGGAATGATCGGGTTATTCGGATGCTTATTCCAGTTCAGCAGCAGCGGATCGGACGCCGTTGCGATGGCATTGCCCGACTCCGTGCCGTGGTATATGGCGATAACGCGGTCGTCCTCCACCAGCGTCTGCCCGCTGTAGCAGTCCTTCTCAGTGTCCGGGTACAGCGCAAGCGGCAGGTCGCGCCAGTGAATCAGGTCGTCGCTCACCGTATGCCCCCAGTGAACGCGGTCGTCCGCGCCACCGGGCCTGTACTGGTAGAACAGGTGCCACCGCCCCTGCCAGAAGCACAAGCCATTCGGGTCGTTCATCACATTCTGCGGCGGCGAGAAGTGGTACGCCGGGCGATACGGATCAGCCGCAAGGCGACGGCGCGCGTCCGCAAAGGCTTGCAGCGCATCATCCGATTCAAGCGCACGAATCTGCTCGTCGAGCGTTCCGGGATATGTCGGTCCTGAAAGAGTGGGTAATTCGTTGTAGTCATTGGGAGCTCCGATTACGACTGAAAAATGCAGGAAGTTACTCACCATATTCGGCTGACGCCGTGCTCATCGAAGGGACGCTCGTTCGACACCAAAGCATCGAGCAATAACCTCAACTGGTTCAACTTTCCCAGCGAGATAGTTCGTCTTCAGGTAATGGCTTAGAGAACAAGTCATCGTCTATAACCAACTGTCCCTTGAACGCGCCAAATCGCCGGTCGCCTTGAGTCGGCTCGTTGTAGCAAACGAGCCGCGCAACGGGACTTCCTGCCCGCGTAATGATTACCTCTTCACCTGCCTCAACCTTTGACATAAGTCCGGGTAGATTGGCTTGAGCGTCCGACACATCAACATACGACATCGGAATTCTCCTTAGTGAATGGACAGCAAATAATCAAGGCTGGCATCCCTATGGTAAAACAAGAGATGCCAGCCTTCAAACAGATCCATGCAACTGGTCGGGGAGACTGGATTCGAACCAGCGACCCCCTGCACCCCATGCAGGTGCGCTACCAAACTGCGCTACTCCCCGGCCAGCTTCCAGAATAGCATAGCGATTAGGCGTCTTCAAGAGAATGGCGCGCCTCAGTCGCTGGTTATCGCCTGTCCGGTCATCGCCTGTCCAAGGCAAACATGCGGGCGCCGCCGCTATTCGAACTACTTCAGCAGCCGATATCACAAAAGACACATGAATAGGACGGCGTGATACAATGGCGTCCTAGGATGCTATGAAGAATGGAGGAGCAGCATGACGAATACGACAACCGTAACGCTGGACGATGTGTACGAGGCTCTGAGAGATGTGTACGACCCCGAGATTCCGGTGAACATCGTTGACCTCGGGCTGGTGCGCGACGTCTCGCTGGTCGAGGGCAACATCAATATGACGATGACGCTGACGTTCGCTGGCTGCGGCATGGGCCCGTACATCGCGCAGCAAGCGGAGTGGCGGCTCGCCGAGATCGAAGGCGTTGACGACATCAACGTTGAGCTCGTCTTCGACCCACCATGGTCGCCCGACGAAATCACTGAAGAGGGCAAGAAGTTGCTTGGGCTGGACTAAGGGAAGTCAGTCAGTATTTCGGTTAGTCAGTTGCTCAGTATCGCGGTGCATCGACGGCTACCCATAATCTGATTGCTGGATAACAGACATACCGAATAACCTGAACACTGAGGAAAGTCTTATGACGATAAATCCGCAGCAGGCGGCGAGCGCCCGTCAGCGCATAGAGGCGATGCGACGCCAGTTCGAGCAGAAGCGACAGGTCGCAGACGCGCTGGCGCAGATCGGGCACAAGATTGGCGTGTACAGCGGCAAGGGCGGCGTGGGCAAAACGACCGTCGCCGTGAACCTCGCGACGACTCTTGCGCACGAAGGGCACAGCGTTGGCATCCTCGATGTGGACATCGACTGCCCCAATGTCGTGCGAGCGATGAAGGTCGCCGAGCGCCCGCAGGTTGGCGAGGGCAACAAGATGCTGCCGTCCGAACGCTTTGGCGTAAAGGTGATGTCCATGGGCTTCTTCCAGCAGAACGAGGAGGAGGCAATCATCTGGCGCGGTCCGATGGTGCATAACGCCATCAACCAACTGCTGCAAAATACAGACTGGGGAACCCTCGACTACCTGGTCGTTGACCTGCCTCCGGGCACTTCGGACGCTCCCTTGACCGTAATGCAAAACCTGGAGCTTGACGGCTTCATCGTCGTAACCACGCCGCAGGAACTCGCCAAGATAGACGCCAAGCGCTCCATCAACATGATACGCAAGCTGCAAGTGAAGGTGCTGGGAGTGGTCGAGAACTTCTCAGGCGACATCTTCGGCAGTGGCGCGGGCGAAGAGCTTGCTGACGAACTGGATCTGGACTTCCTCGGCAGCCTGGAACTGCGCCCCGATTACCGCGACACGTCCAAGCCCACAGTCCTTCTCAGCAACGACGTGCTGGGCGAGTATGCCATCATCGCAAAGAAGGCGCGCGCCGCGCTGGGAGAGGTGGACTGATACGGGCTGGCTTGAAGGGGGCTGATATGGATGAGAATGGCAAAAGGATAGGCTAATGCGTTATGTGCATGCGGCGGAAGCCGATGACAAACTGCTGGAGCTTCTCAAGCACGCAGAGAATGGTGAGACTATTATCATTCTCGACATGGCAAGCCCATTGCACATTTGACCCCCCCGGATGAAGAGCGCGAGAGGGAATTGAGAGAAGAGGCTTGGGGTGAATTCAGGCGAAGGCAAGCTACTTGGAAGAACACAAAGATGACAACGCAGGAGATTCTGGACCTACGCCACGAAGGTCATCGTTTCTAGGTGAATTAGTTCTCGATGCGTCGGTTATTCTCAACTGGCTTATTGATGAGGAGATTGACCCTGCAACCGCATATTTGGCAACGAGCATCTCGCAATATGAAGTCTTCGTCCCGCCGATATGGAATCTGGAAGTGCGGACGGCTTGCTGATGGCGGAGAGACGCAGTCGTATCACCGAAGACCGACTCCAAGAACGCCTGCAAGATTTGATAAAATTGCCAATTGACTCTGACACCGACTCCAATCTCGAAGACGCCTTCACATTGGCGCGAGCGCATGGGCTGTCATTCTATGACGCCACATACCTTGAGCTTGCGAAGAGGCGCCTACGCCACTCTCGACTCCGCCCTCGACCGCGCCGCATCTGCAGAAGGCCTGCCCGCGCTTCCATAGCCGTCAGCGTGTATAATTGCTCCCACACAATTTGTTCGCCATAACGCTATGGAGGAAAGAAACATGTTTTACAGACTCTACACAGGCGACGACGGGCAGTCGCACATGGACGAGAGCTATGAGCCGCCAGAGGTGCAGGACGCCACCGGCATCGTAGTTCGCAAGCAGGAGTCGGCTACTTCATCGACTGGCATCCCGCGCCGCGCAAGCAATACATCATCACGCTGGCAGGCAATGTCGAGATCGGGCTGGGCGACGGCACGGTCTATACGCTCGGCCCCGGCGACATGATGCTCGCGGAGGACACTACCGGACAGGGGCACACGACGAAGGCAGTGGGCAACGAAACGCGCGTCTCCGTCGCTATTCCGCTGGCCTAAGAATTAGACAATTGGGTGGCGATGCAGCCTGCCCTTGACGTCCGACCGATTGTACCCCCTCGCTTGCGCCCTCTTTTGACGGCTTGGCTTATGGGGGAATATACTTACGCCAATTGATACTACTGGCTATCTAGCACTCTGGGAGCGAAACCGTGAGCTACGAAGACATCGTTGTGACTAAGGACGAGGGCGTCGGCATCATCCGCCTCAACAGGCCGAAGGTGCTAAACGCGCTGAGCAAGAGGCTGTATCGCGAGGTTGACACCGCCATAAGCGATATGGAGGCGGACGCCGGCATCAAGGCGGTAATATTCACAGGCACAGGCGACCGCGCGTTCTCGGCCGGTGCGGACATCCACGAGCAGGTGCGAGACGCGGAGAACCCGCCGCCACCGGACCCGAACCGCAGCGAATACTCATGGCATGTCGCCGCATGCACAAAGCCAACCATCGGAGCGCTCAACGGCCTCTCCTACGGCGGCGCCGCCGTGATGGCGTCGAGCTTTGATATCCGTGTCGGCTGCGACCGCTCGCGCTTCCGCTTCCTCGCCGCATCATACGGTCGCGTGAACTCCACATGGACACTGCCGATGCAGGTCGGCTGGCCCAAAGCCAAGGAGCTGCTATTCACCACATGCGTGGTTGAGGCAGAAGAAGCATATCGCATCGGGCTGCTGAACCACCTTGTCTCCGCAGACGAGCTTATGCCCAAGGCAATGGAAATCGCGAAACAGATCGCCGCAAACGACTCTCGCATGGTGCAGGGCATCAAGGAGCTTATGATTGACGACGTGGGCGAGGGCTGGCGCTGGATGCACGACAAACGAGTCTGCAGCGCAGAAGGGCAAGCTCGCCCCCACGCCCGTTGAAGAAGGCTTCGCCGACTTCCTCTCGCGCAAGGGCCGCAAGGATGCGTAGCGACCGACGCAGATAGACTGGACATGGGGACATTCAGCGTACCGATAGCCATTGGTGACCCGCAGGGCGAAAACTGGGTTGAGTTAGACGCCCTTGTGGACACGGGCGCATCCATAGTTTCTGTGCCGGCCTCTTTGCTAATCGACTTGGGCGTCAAGCCTGCCGCGCAACATCGGTTCCGATTTGCCCAAGGCGGTGTGAGGAACATGGACATAGGCGAGGCACGAATAAGGGTTGATGGGCTGGAAACGGGCACACTGGTAGCATTCAATGATGAGGGTACACCCATACTGCTCGGCGCGCTAGCCTTGGGATCCCTGTTCCTAGGCGTTGACCCGGTGGGACAGAGGCTAGTTCCCGTAGATGGGCTTATGATGTCGCCAATCATGGTAGATTGACACGAATGACAGAAAATAGCAGAAATATCGAAGAACTGCGAGAGGATTTACTCCGATGACATCTGACAATGGCACACTGAAGACGCCGCTTGAAGGAATACGAGTGCTCGACTTGGGACGCTATCAGGCGGGACCGCGCTGCGCCCTCATGTTCGCTCGTATGGGCGCTGAGGTAATCAAGGTGGAGTCAGTGCGCGGCGACGAAAGCCGAGCCAACGGGCCACGCGTGCGCGGGCAGTCCGCCTACTGGGTGCAGTACAACAGCGGCAAGAAGAGCCTCGCGATCAACCTTCGCACCGAGAAGGGCAAAGAAGTGCTGCGCGATCTCGTGAAGGTGTCTGACATTCTCTTGCAGAACTTCCGCCCCGGCACAATAGACATCATGGGCTTCGGCTACGACAAGCTCAAGGAACTAAACCCCAAGATCATCATGATAAATGTCTCGGCGTATGGGCAGTACGGCCCGAACAGCGAAAAGGTAGGTTTCGACCCGATAGGCCAGGCGATGGGCGGTCTCATGTCCCTTACCGGCTACGGCGACCTGCCGCCAATCAAGACATACTTCCCGCTCATTGACCGCATCACGGCGCTGCACGCCTGCATCGGCGCACTCGCCGCCCTGCGAGAGCGCGAAATCTCCGGAGAAGGGCAGGCGCTCGAAGTCTGCCTCGCCGACACGGGCTTCACGGTCAACGAAATCCCATATCAGCATACCTAAGCGGGGGCGTGGAGACCACGCGCGCAGACTCCGCGGTGGGCGGCGGCGGAACGCCTTTCGGCGGCATGTACGAAACTGAGGACGGCTATGTCATCCTCGCGGCAGGGCAACGACAACATGTGGCCACGCACATGCGATGCGCTCGGCCATCCCGAATGGCTTGAGGACCCACGCTTTGAGACGCGCGACTCCCGCACCGAGCATGTGGATGTGCTCGAAAAGGAGATCGGCAACTGGCTGAAGCAGCGCACCACGAAGCAGGCGGTTGACGAGCTCTCGGAGCACAGCATACCCTGCGCTCCGGTGAACACCACAGAGCAGGCTGCCAACGAGCCGCAACTCCACGAGCGCGAGATCTGATGGAAGTACCCGACCCCGTCGCTGGCACGATGTGGGTTAGCGGTAAGTCAATCAAGTTCAGCCGAACCCCGATGGTCGTTGGCTCAACCCCCACCGTGGGGCAGCACACTCGCGAACTGCTCACTGGCATACTTGGCTACTCTGACGATCAGGTGCAGGCGCTCGTCAACGAAGAAGTGGTTGGCGCTGACGACTCGGTGTAACTCGATAAACAAGGTAGGTGTGCTAAGGAACTAACGGCAAATTGCAGGGCACAAGCGATGAAGATTTCACGCTGAGGCAAGCGTTTGACCGTATGCCAAAGATTCCAGGACACGGTGAGACGGTGCTGGGTCGTCACAAGAGCGTCCGCAAAGAGTGGGTCATGAAGGTCATTGCAGAACCCCATGAGAGATATGAGACAATAACTTCAGACGGTGAACGCCGAACTATTCTTACAGGACGAGTGCAGGAAACGAATCATTGGATAATGGTAGTCTTCGTTGGAGACACGGAAACGGGTAGGTTTCTCACAGCATGCACAAACAGAGGTCTGATAAAGAAGTACGGAGGACTGCCATGGGACATCCCATAAGTCAGCCTGATTGGAAGCCTGCCCCGCCCGCGCAAGTGGAGTACATCCCTGAGTCACAAGTGCTGTTTATTGAGAACGGGCAGGATAGCGCGGTGGGCGACGACTTCGCCGAGCACATTATTGTTCACTACGATAACGACGATGTTGCCGCGCCTGCCTCGCTCGCGGCAATTCGCATTGACAATGCAGAATATGTGCTCAAGCCATTCGTTGACGCAATTCTAGCGAAGTACGGCGTGTCGCTCGATGCCATTCAAACTCCAAAGTCAGTGAAGTCTAAGAGTGGTGTGTAAGTGGTCGGTACTGACGATTCTGCATAATTTCGCTGAACGGCATGTACATTTATAGGATTAGGGACAAGCAGTATCTTGCAGACAATTGTTAACGACCCCGGCGACTTCTCCTATGTGATAGGGCCATACAAGCAGCCCGTCGCAACGGTCTCGCCGGGTGAAACCTTCGTGGTGGAGACCGCGGACGCCTTCGAGAACAGGATTACCTCGCCCGACGACGACATCACGAAGATAATCACGCTACCATACGTGAATCCCCTGACCGGCCCCATATATGTCGAGGGTGCTGAGAAGGGCGACACTCTCGCCGTCACAATCCACTCCATCGAGGTTACGCGCGACTACGGCGTCAGCGCGCTGATTCCCGAGTTCGGCGGCCTCTGCGGCACTGTATTCACGCGCACGCTGAACCCGCCTCTGCCACCGCGCGTCATGCTGCATCCCATCAGCAACGGCGAGATTACCTTTTCCGATGACTTGGACATCGCGGCGATACCCTACGAGCCGTTCTACGGCACTATCGGCACCGCGCCCGAACTTGAGGCAATCTCCTCGCTCGCGCCCGGCTTCCATGGCGGCAACATGGACGCTGCTGATGTGTGCCCCGGCAACACCATCCACCTTCCCGTCAATGCTCCCGGCGCGCTCCTGCACATAGGCGACGGCCACGCGGCGCAGGGCGATGCGGAGGTCTGTGGCGTCGCAACGGAGATTCCCACGCGCGGAATTCTGACCGTCGACCTAATCAAGGGGCAGGCAATCGCCACACCGAGAGTTGAGTCTGACGATTTTTTGATGACCGTCGGCAGCGCCCGCCCCATGGAAGACGCGGCACGCATCGCCTTCTATGAGCTTGTGATGTGGCTGGAATCGGCTTATGGCATTGAGCGGCTGACAGCGTATCAACTCTGTTCGCAGGTCGCCCGTGTGCGACTCGCCAACATGGTGGACATCCTCTACTCGGTCGTCGCCAAGTTCCCAAAGCGCTACCTGCCGCGATCCTGAGCTATGGCTACTCCCGACTTTCAGCCCACAGACAAGTTCTTTGATGTCGATGGCCTGCGTCTGCACTACCTCGACTGGGGCACGCCGTCTCCCGATGCGCCGACGATGGTGCTGCTGCACGGCCTGCAGGACTGCGCCCGAAGCTGGGACATCTTCGCGGCGGCAATAAGCTCCGACTACCGCGTCATCGCGCTGGACCACCGCGGGCATGGCGACAGCGCGCATGCAACTCCGGACGCTTACGGCTTCCGCAACTACATCGCAGACTTAGAGGCGCTTGTCGCTCACCTGCAAACTAAGCGACTTTATTCTGGTTGGTCATTCAGCAGGCGCGCGCTACGCCTTCGTCTTCGCCGCCGAGCATCCCGATCTCTTGCGGGCGCTGGTGGTGGTTGACATCGACCCCGACGCCGTGAACCCCGATTCGCAGGGCATGTTCGTGCGCTACAACACCGAGTCCGACGAGTGGGATTCACTGGACGCCGTGGTAGAGAGGCTGCGCGACCGCCAGCCCCAATCCACCGACGAGATGCTGCTGCATCAGGCGAAGGTGATGACGCGCGAACTTGCGGACGGCAGGCGAGTGTGGAAGCGCGACCGCCGTCTGCTCGCTGCGTATGAGCGCCCCGACCTGTGGGGAAGAGTGGGGGCGCATAACCGTGCCCACGCTGATAGTGCGCGGGCGTCAGAGCAACCTGCTGACGCACGAGGTCGCCGTGCGAATGCGCGAGGCAATTGCTGGCACACGCCAGTTGTGCGCCTTGCCGAACTGGAAGGCGGCGGTCACTGGTTCTACCAGGAGTTCCCCGGCGCGTTCGAAGCGACAGTGCGCTGGTTTATGAGGGCCGTCAGGTCTGACTTATGCGTGGATAGGACGGAGACAGTGAATAGGTGGACTTGTCTATTCCGCTTCTCCTTGTTCACCCTCGCCTAGTATCTCCTGTGCGAGTTGCAGGTTGTGCTCATACACCAGCACTCGATGGGGTATGAACTGGATCATGCCCACTCCGCCGTACCCGAAGCCCAACGGCTGGACATACGCGCCCAACGCCATTTCTCCCGCAGCAGTTGCGCGATCATCTGCGCCTCCATCTCATTGGGATAAGTGGCAAACTCCACGGACTTATCGCTATCGGGCATACTCAGCTCCAATTATGTTGCGGGATTGGCTTCGACGTCACTTCGAGCCTTTCAAGTAGGCTGCAATCTCGTCGCGTATCGCGCTGACGCTGGGCTGCGGGCAGCCCACTACACGCTCGTCTGCGCCTTCGTGCTTATGGTGCGGAGCGTGTGGTAGGTTGGCTGGGAGTGATAGTCGCTGTTATCATAGCGAAATATGGTAACATTCTCGGCGGTCATGAAGTGGAAGGAGTATCTCTTTGGTGATGGAAACCCTTCTGCCTTGTCCACAGTCAGGTTGACATACAAGCGGCTACTGTTTGGGAATCTTATAAGCGCCTCCATTGTTGCCGCTTCTTCGTCTTCACCTTCCTCACCTATGAATTCCAGTTCTTCTATCTCTACGCTGCCTATGGTCAAGAGAACATAAAGCGCACGTTCAAGGTAATCTATTAGTAGTGGGTCCAGCGTCTAGTCCTCCACTTCCAACTCAGCGTGTGCTTGCTTGAATACAACCCGGAAGTATGCCTCCCATCTGAAATAGTCGTCGACGCACTCTAGCTCGCCACGTTTCCACTTACCGATGAATTCGTGCGAAGTCATGCCATACTTCGCCTCAAACTTGGCGATCCTTTTCTCGACATCCTCTTTTGACAGAAGGCTTGCTTTAATCTCCTGACCATTGGGTAGTCGAACAGTCTTGTACTTCGGCTTCTGGTCAACCATTGCTATACCTGCTTTCGGCTCTTATCCATTTACTACCTACCGATATACCGCGGCTGCCGCTTCTCCACGAAGGCGCGCACGCCCTCCTTGTGATCTGCGGTGCGCCGAGCGATGTTCTGCGCGGGCCCTGCGAGCTTCAGGCTCTCCTCCAGATCGGTGTGCAGCGACTTCTGCACCAGACGCTTAATCATCGCCATCGAGTATGTTGGCCCGTCCGCGATGCGCTGCGCCAGTTCCAGCGTCGCATCCATCAGCTTATCGTGCGGCGCGACCTTACTGACCATACCGAGACGATACGCTTCGTCGGCGTCAACAGCGTCGCCGGTGTACTGCAAGATGAAGGTGTTGCTGATGCCAATCATGCGAGGAAGTTGCCAGCATGAGCCGTCCGCTGGAATGAGGCCGCGCCGAATGAACGTCTCCGAAAAGCGTGCGTTCTCCGATGCGATGCGAATATCGCACGACAGCGCAATGCCCATGCCCAGTCCCATGGCGTAGCCGTTCACGGCGGCGATGGTCGGCTTCTGCATGTTGTGCAGCGTGAGAGGCAGGAAGCGCACACCGTCCATGTAGCTCTCACCCGATGCCGCCGCCGCCCACTGCTCATCGAGATGCTCCCAGGGCGTCATGTCCTCTGGGATTGGCTCAGCTGAGCGTTCCTCGTTGGCTTCGTTCATGCGCTTCACATTCGCGCCGGAGCAGAATGACGGATCGCGTCCGGTCAGAACTAGCGCGCGCAGCGTAGAAGACGCCTCCAACCGCTCTATCTCAACGTTAATCTCAGCAGCCATCTCGTCGCCAATGGCGTTGCGAGTACGGGCGCGTCGTCCATAGTTATGACGAGCACGCCGCCGATTTCCTGCGTATCTATAAACTCGTATGGCATTCCCTATCCTTTGGATTTTCTCACTTCGTCCGTACTTCGGTATCTCTAATCTTCAATCTTGGACTTGAGGCAGTTGAAGAACTGGTTCATCAGCATGCGCGATACGTTCCCCATCAACCTCTGTCCCACACGCGCCACCACACCCGTAACTTGCGCGTCCCCGGCGACGCTGACCTGCGTTCCTCCCTCGATGTCCGCAAAGGTGAGGACACCCTCACCGCGCACGACTGCCGCCCGAACCTCTGCCCTGCACGACCATCTTGTACGATTCAAGGTGCTGCCTGTCGGCAATCGTCACGCTGCCGCTGTAGTTCCCGCGCACGGCAGCGACACCCACGCGCATTGTAACCTTGTAGGTATCAGCGTCCATCGGTTCGAAGCTCTGGCAACCGGGTATGCAGTCTGCCAGCGTCTCAGGGGACAGGAGCATATCCCAGACCTGCTCGCGCTCGGCCTCTATCGTGAATCTGCCTTCTACCTTCATGCGGGAACTCCTCTCAACTAGGGGGCTGCATCGATGAGTGCGGTAAAGGGGAAATACGCGGATGTTGCACCATTTTAGCACACGGCGGCGGGTAGCCCATTACAGTATATCCTGATATAATCGCCCAAAATCCGCAGGGGTGATCCTATACGCCCCGACCACACGAGGGATAGCGCAATACCTGTCCTTTCACATCGGATTCTGACACTGATTCTATTGTTTGGGAGGATTTCGTATGGGTCAGTCAATTACCCTAGAGATCAACGGCACATCCTATACCAGCGAAGTGGAACCGCGCCTGCTTCTTGTGCAATATCTACGCGAGACGCTCAACATGACGGGCACGCATGTCGGCTGCGACACCAGTAACTGCGGCGCTTGCACAATTATCCTCAACGGCAACGCAGTCAAGTCCTGCACCGTGTTCGCCGTGCAGGCGAACGGCGGCAAGGTCACCACCATAGAGGGACTTGCAGCCAACAACGAACTGCATGCCGTCCAGGAAGGCTTCTGGGAGGAGCACGGGCTTCAGTGCGGCTTCTGCACGCCGGGCATGATTATGATGTCCTACGACCTGCTGTCGAAGAACCCCAGCCCGTCGGAAGCGGAAATACGCGAAGGGACTCGCGGGCAACCTGTGCCGCTGCACGGGCTATCACAACATCGTGAACGCGGTGCAGTACGCCGCTGAGAAGATGTCTTCGTAGGTCTCATTCCCCTTTCCCCCATCAACGGGGAAGGCTAGGATGAGGGTGGAAATCTTACACATCCTGTTAGCTCTCGATTTGCTGACACACCGACGGACTGACTTACTCTGACCGACTAGGAGGCTGAATTATGGTTTCTAGTGCATTTGCATATCACGCGCCAACAAGCGTCGCAGAGGCAGCGAGATTGTTGGCTGAGCACGGCGACGAAGCAAAGATACTGGCAGGTGGGCACAGCCTTATCCCGCTGATGAAACTGCGACTTGCCGAGCCGAGCGTGCTAATTGACTTGGGGAAGATTGAAGGGAATGTCCTACATCCGCGAGGCTGATGGCGGCGGCTTGGCGATAGGCGCGATGACGACATACGCCGCTCTTCAGGGGTCCGAACTGGTGCAGAGCAACGCGCCTGTTCTCGCTGACGCAGCCGGGCAGGTGGCAGACGCTCAGGTTCGCAACATGGGAACGATTGGCGGCTCGCTGGCCCACGCCGATCCTGCGGGCGACCTGCCCGCGGTCGCAATCGCGCTCAACGCCGAACTCGTAACGAGTTCCACCGGCGGTCATCGCACCATCGGTATCGACGACTTCTTCGTTGACCTGCTAACCACCTCGCTTGAGTCGAACGAAATCCTCAACGAGATTCGCATTCCGGCTCTCGCTGCCAACAGCGGCTCGGCTTACGCCAAGTTCGGCAACAAGGCGTCGCACTACGCCATAGTGGGCGTGGCTGCGGTCATTACCACGGATGGCAACGGCAACTGCACGGGCGCCAGCATCGGCGTAACCGGCGCAGGTCCAGCGGCAGTGCGCGCCGGCGATGCGGAGGCGGCACTTGTTGGAAGCAGCCTCGACGATGATGCAATAAACGCGGCAGCAAGCGCAGCGGGCAACGGCATCGAGTTCAATGAGGATGTGCACGCCTCGGCAGAGTACCGCGCGCACCTGACTTCGGTGTACGCCGGACGCGCCATCCGCGCGGCAATCGCCAACGCAGGCTAGGCGATAAGCGAAGTAACAGCCAAAAATAGAATGCCATAGATAGAATGGGCAGGATTGAGACTGGAGTAGCCAGTAGCCTCGATCCTGCCCATCATTGCTTTATCGGTACTTTACAGCGAATTACAGCCCGTGCAGCAGTCCCTCTATATCGACGTGCTCCTCCACAAGCTCCACACATCGCTTGAGCTTGTCGGGGTGGTTGAAGCTGCTGATGTCTAGCAGAGTATCCAGCCTTGCCATCGTATCGAGCGTATCCGACTCCACCAGAATAATCGGCGTCTCTTCCTGTTCCGCCTCGTATCGCACGTACTCGATAGGCACGATCCCCCCTGTGGCTACCAGGCACGCTGTGAACCCGGGCGCGCCCAGGGCGGACATCTGCAAGTCCGGCCTGTCACCGCGCACGATTGCGGCGCGCTTGTCGTGTATGCCGTAATAATACTCGCTGGGGTCGAGGCTCAACCCGCCAACCATCAGGTACTCCACCAAGCTGTCCTCTTCCGCTTCTTCGCTGATGAACTTCCCGTTGAGGTGTGCCGCAATCTGGCTCACGCTCACACCGAGCAGGCATCTGTCCTCAGGTATCAGCCCCAGCACGCGCGCCCCCCTCATTGATGCTTGCGCCGCTATTGGCGGCACGAGATTGGCGCGCGCATCAGTACCCATATATTGCGTAACGCCATTGATAATATATCCAATGACCCTTCCACCGAAAGGCGCGCCCGTCGTCAGCACTGAACCGTGGGCCAGCGATGAATCGTAGCCTGCGATCACCAGTACGCGTGCATCAACGTTGTCGCAGATGATCCGCCCTGTCGTCCCCGCCAGCCCATTTGAGCTTTCCACGATAACGATGTCGTTCTCAGAAGCCAGGCCTCTGATGAGCGCGCTGACTTCATCGAGATTGCCGCCGCGTACGTTTTCGGCAATTTCAACCGGCCACCCCCGCGTATCCGTGCCCAGAAGTTCCGCGTACATCGCGGCATCAATGTCATCCTCGTCATCGGCAACGGGCTTAACGACCACGACCGACTTGGACTGCGCCCTCAGCAACTTGGTCAGCGCCATGCACAGCGCCGTCTTGCCTGCGCCCGGTCGGTCGGATACGACATATAGGATGCTCATTCACTGCTCCCGCGGGTTGCTTTGGACTGATGGTGGACTGACGGAGGTTATGCCGCCGCAATTATATCAAAAGGCGCGGGCAGGGTGTACTTTGTGCTAAAGTTAGTTGGTCAATGAAGTGTTGCCGTTTTCGGATATACTGTATCTTCACAGACATGGGAGTTTGACTTCATTGCCCAACAGAGAGGCATACTATGACCACGCGAAGCACACTCAAGCCGCAAATCGCCGATTACTCTCATCTGGAGCCGTTGCCCGACCCGGAGCGGGAACCTGATATGCAGCAAACCGAGGGCATATTTTCTTTTCACGGCATCCTCAGACCTCACTTCGCCCATAGGGACGATGTGCTGATTTCCGGCGAAGGCTATCTGCGGCATGAGGCGACCAATGATGCGGAGCGGCTCGCTCCCGACTGTATAGTAACCTTCGGCGTCAATCCTGAAGGCATAATCGCGCGCAATGGCTACGTAATAAGCGAGGTCGGCAAACCGCCGGACTTCGTGCTGGAAGTAGCGTCTCGAAGCACTGGAAGACGGGACTACACAGTGAAGCGCGAGGGATACGCGGCGTATGGAGTTCGCGAGTATTGGCGCTTCGACCACACGGGCGGGCGCTTTCACGATGCTCCGTTGGCGGGCGATGTGCTGATAGATGGCGAGTACAAGCGGTTGGATATACACGAAGGGCATGACGGACTGCTTTGGGGACATAGCGAGGTTTTGGGACTGGACTTATGCTGGGATTCTGGTGAGTTGCGCTTCCGTGACCCGCTGACTGGTGAGTTTCTGCCCACACCCGAGGAGTTGGGCGAAGCGCGTACTGACGCCGAAGCCCGTGCCGAATCTGCCGAAGCGCGTGCCGATACTGAAAGAGCAGCGCGTCAAGCCGCCGAAGCCGAGGTAGCCACGCTGAGAGAGCAGTTACGACGGCTCCAACAACACGGCGAGTAGTGTTCAAAATGTCAGTTGGCCAGTGAATAGACACAACTTTCTCCTCACGCTCATTGTCCCATCGCTTCTTATCAACCTGGTGTTGATAGGATGCACCAACGCACAGGCGGATGTGCCGGCAATGGAACAGCGTTCGCAAGCGCTGAACAGGACTATCATGTGCCCGGTTTGCCCGGCGAATCCATCGACCAGTCGCAGGTCGCCCTCGCCGTGCAGATGCGCGGCATCGTGAACGATAAATTGGCGGCGGGCTGGTCCGACGAGCAGGTGCGTGAGTTCTTCGTGGAGCGGTACGGCCCGAGCGTACTGTTGGAGCCACCGACAAAGGGAATATCGCTCGCAGTATGGCTTGTGCCGCCGTTAGGCGTTGCCGCCGCGATTGGTGTATTCGTCATCGCGCTCCGGCACATGCGCCGCAGACCGACTGCCTCGGATGGCGACGACGAAATGTCGGACGACGATCTCCAGCCATACTATGAGCGTATCGAAGCATCCGTTTCGGGGGACAAAGTGGATAGGCAGGATGTAAAAGATGGTTGACGCGGGACAGCTCGCGCTGATAATCGCAATGGTGGTGACTGCTTATGCAGCGGTCGCCTCATTCGTGGGCTCCTGGCAGCGCGTACCGGACCTAACTGCGAGCGCACGCTACGGCTTCTACTCCGTGCCGCTGCTGCTGCTCGTATCCACGGCGGCGCTGGTGTACGCCTTTGTCACACGAGACTTCAGCGTGCGCTATGTCGCGGAGAACAGCAACCTCGCCATGCCGCACATCTACACATGGGTCGCGTTCTACGCGGGCAATGCCGGATCCCTTCTGTACCTGGCGCTGGTACTGGCGACCGTGTCCACGATCGCGGTTCTGACGATACGCAAGCGACTGCCTCACACGACACCCTACGCACTGGGCACAATGGCGCTCATCCTTGCCTTCTTCCTTGGCATCATGCTATTCCTCGCCAATCCTCTGGAACGGCTGCCAATAGCCCCTCCCGACGGGCAGGGCATCAACCCGCTCCTCGTACACTTCGGCATGTTCATTCACCCTCCGCTGCAAATGGCGGGACTGGTGCTGGTCGCAGTGCCGTTCAGCATTGCAATGGGCGCGCTTGCGGCGAGACGCGGCGGACGCGACGAATGGGTGGACTTAGGCAGGCTATGGGGCATGGTATCGTGGCTTGTCCTCACAATGGGGCTCATGCTCGGCAGCTGGTGGGCGTACACCATACTCGGCTGGGGCGGATACTGGGCATGGGACCCGGTGGAGAACTCCGCGCTGATGCCCTGGCTCGCTATGACCGCATTCGTGCATTCCATCATGGTGCAGAAGCGGCGCGGGATGTTCCGCATGTGGAACATGGCTCTCATCATAGTCGCATTCACGATGGCGCAGATGGGCATGTTCATCAATCGCGGCGGCCCCGTGCCATCGGTGCACTCCTTCGCGCAGAGCACGATGGGCTGGCTGTTCCTCGCCTTCATGGCTGGAACGCTGCTCGCATCAATCGCCGTATTTCTGTGGCGCTACGATTCCCTGAGAAGCCGTGCGCAACTTGAGGCGATAGTCTCACGCGAGAGCGCCTTCCTCGGTCAGAACATCCTGTTTCTCGCGGTCGCCTTCGTGACACTGTGGGGCACGATATTCCCCGTGTTCAGCGAAGCGGCGGACGGCACGGTCGTCACCGTCGGCCGTCCATTCTACGATCGAGTGAACGGGCCAATCCTGCTGCTCATCGTAGTGATGATGGGCATAGGCCCTCTATTGCCTTGGAGACGCTCAACCACCCAGAGCCTGATACGCGCCCTCCGCGCGCCGCTCATCGCCGCGTTGCTGACTCTCGTAGTGTTGCTGATAGTGGGCGTGCGCCAGCCCGTCGCGCTCGTGGCGTTCGCCTCTGTAGGCTTGGCAGTCGGCGGCATCCTGAGCGAGTGGCTGCGCGGCACACGTTCGCGGCATCGGCGTGGTGAGGCGTATCCCGCTGCGTTCCTCAACCTGCTGGCAGGCAACCGCCCACGCTACGGCGGCTACATCGTGCATCTGGGCATAGCCATGCTTGCAGTGGGCGCAATCGCCTCATCCTTCTTCAGCGTGCAGCGCGACATTGCTATGCAACCCGGCGATGTCGCGGCATTCGGCGACTACACCTTCAGGTATGTGGGAGCGATACACACAACGCACCCGGATAGAGCGGAGTCCGTCGCAGCTTTCGATGTGTGGAAGGGTGACCGGTTGACCGGCAGGATGGACGCGTACCGAGCCTTCTATCCCACCTTCCGCATCGCCTCCACCAAGGGCGCGATTCGCAGCACCCCAATCGAGGACTTTTACATCGTCCCATCCGAGTTCGGCAGCGACGACCAGGCTGTGTTCCGCGTGCTGATAAATCCGATGGTCTGGTGGATGTGGGCGTCGGGCCCGGTGCTGGTCCTGGGCATACTGGTCGGGCTGTGGCCCTCAAGGCAGCCCGCGCTCGCGGTCGTGAGGATGCCCAGCGGCGCGCGGGCAGCAAGGGCGTAGCGCGATGCTTGTGTTTCTCGCCATCGTGCTTGCCCTCATACCAGCCGTCATCATCGCGTACCCGTTCCTGCGGCGCGGCGAGAGCAGCGAGTGGCTGGACGATGAAAGTCTCGCCCATGGCGACGCTGCAACGACGATGGGAGGCCGCGCTTGACGGCATCAAAAGCGCGGAACTGGAGTACGCCATCGGCAACCTGAGCGAAGAGGACTACCGCTGGCTGCGCCGCCAGTACATGCGTGAGGCAGCAGTCGTAATGCGCTCGATGGAGCTTGAGCACGAAGAAGAAGAAGCGCTCCTGACGCGTATTGAAGCTGAAAGCGAGCGCGTTAGAGCGCGTGTGCTGGGAGACGATCAGGCTGCGGGCTGATTTCGAGCGAAAGCAGAGCTTTTGCATCCCCTAACCTCGTAGCCTGCCCGCCTCTTTGCGATTGGCGCTCTATACCTTCCGTGCCGGGCACAGGCTCATTGAACGCTCTCCTTTGCCGTTCGCGTTTGCTCGCTTCGGTGCCTCTTACGCTAGGAACGTAGAACTAAGCGATTCCTCGCGCCTGCTCTTTCCCTTTGGCACATCCAGTCCAATGTTGCTGCGATGCCTTCCACGCGACCTATCGCCCCATGGTCTTTATCCCGTAAATCCTTCAGCGTTACGGTACTTTAGGGGTTCGACGTACTCAAGCGAAAGTAGTCTGATGGCAAAATCGCCATCCAGGGGCTTTCGCAGCCGAATAGGGTATCTTGCTGAAACGTTGCCACAGTAGCTTAGGATCCGTGAACTCAATACCTTTGCGTTGCGCTTTTTCCTTTTGGCGTACCCAGTCCAAAGTTACGGCGATACCTTGCTCGCACCCATCTTCCATGAGTTCAATTATATGACGTTGTGCCGATTGTCTATTCCGCTTCCTCAGCGACTCTATGAATTTGTGCCTATTTTCCTGAAGGCGATGTTTTCATGTGTATATCACTTGAAACAGTGAACGCCAGGTTCATTTAGCACGCCTCGCGACAAAGCTTGCGTGAGCAGCGAAGGAGTTTTCAGTAGCGTCAGCCACTCAGAACTGATAACTTTGAATGTGCAATGAGAACTAGAGCAGGGATACAGACCCGAATTTCGATTTTACTGATGCTGCTCGCGGTCGTATGCACGCTAATGGTCGGCACGCATGCGACCGCGCTGGCGCAGCAGTCGCCGCTCTCAGTGTCAGGGCAGGTCGTGAACGGCACTCCCGATTCAGGCAGCATCGTCGGCATTGCCGTCATCCTGCACATGCAAGGGCGCCGACAGCTACGACAACATGGAAACGACGACAGACGACGACGGGCAATTCCGCTTTGACGGCATAGTGTACGACCCCGCCCTCATATACGGCGTATCCGTGCGATACCAGGATGCGCTGTACGGCACAGAAGTCAGTCTTGCGAACGGAACGCCGCCTCCGGTAACCATCGAGGTGTACGACGCAGTTTATGAACAGGATGTGATACGTGTCGGCTCGGCGTCGCTCCTGTTCGCAGACGCCGACCGAGCGACGCAAAGCATCGCCGCGCTCGAAATCATAAAGGTCATCAACGACTCTGACTTCACCTTCGTGCCGGGCAACGGCGGCCCCATGAGCCTGCTTCGCTTCGGATTGCCTCCGGGCGCTGAGGGCTTGCAGGTGGACACCCGCCTGCTCGGTGCGGACATCGTGCAGGTTGACCGGGGCTTCGCCGTGATTGGAAACGTGCCTCCCGGCGAGCACGACATCCTGTTCACTTACAGCTTCCCTTACGATGGCGCTGAGGCGACATTCGAGAAGTCGTTCCCGTTCGGTGCGGACAGCCTGCGCGTACTGTCTCCCGACGAGGTCTTGACCCTGACAAGTGAAGACATTGGCACACCCGAGGCCGTGAGCATCGGTGAGCGCCCATACCAGCTCATCGAAACGACGGACATCGAACGCGGCAGGCGCATCGAGGTGCAATTGTCGGGGTTGCCACGCACCACCCTCGCCGACCGCGCGCAGGGCGCCGTCACAACGCTCGCTACGAGTATGTCGCGCCCGCGCTGCTAGCCGTATTCCTGATCGCGCTCATCCCCTTTGCCGTTATACGACACAGGGCTGGCAAGCATGAAGAGGATGATGGCTGTCCCGCACCCAGGTCCTGAGTCAGAGGGCGAAGGCGAAGCTGCAGTCAGTTGAGCGGCTTTACCAGGTACTCGCACACCTCACGCCATCTGCGCTGATTGCCGTGAATGTCCAGGTAGCTTCCGCCAATCTCGAATACGCCGAAGCCCGCGTCCAAATAGCCCAGCCGCTCGTACAGCATGCGGGCGCGCGGGTTGTCTATCCCAACCGCCAAGCCTATCCGGGCAAAGGCGCGTTCTGCCACAAGCCGTTCCGCCTGCGTCAGTATCCCCGACCCGATGCCCCGCGACCGATGCTCCGGCATAACGAACAGGTCTTCCAAATGGGCGCACTCTGAGATGCGCTCGGTAACGAAGGCATCCGTCGTACCTTCCCAGCGCACCATCATATGTCCTATCGGAATCCCATCCAGCCAAGCAATCAGGTAAGTCAGGTGCCCGTCCTGCTGCTGAGTGAAGCGGTCGTGGTGTCGCCCTGCCAGCCGACCCACATCCAGATGCGCGACGAGAATGGGAATCTCGTCTTGCTCTAGCGGTCTTATTTCGACAGATAGTACGCACTCCTCCATACCAACCTACTTTATCAGCCGTTTCCGCATCTGGCGCGACGCCAGCCACAGCCCCACCAGCAGGAACGCCAGCAGCTCCCCCACCCACAGCAGCATCCACGGCGTAAGCTCCCCGGCGAACAGCCCGCGCACCAGTGCCGCCGACGCCGTCAGCGGCAGCGCCCACGCGGCGGTCTGCACCACTTCCGGCAGCCTGTCCAGAGGGAAGAACACGCCGCTCACCCAGAACATCGGCAGGATGAACAGCGTGAGAAAGTTGTTGATCGAGCCGATAGTTCTTGCCGTCGCAGTCATCACCATTGCGATGGCGGCGAAAGTCATGCCGATGAGATACGCGGCGGGCAGCGCGAGGATCGCCCACGGCGAGCTCACCAGCCCGAACAGAATTGCCACGAACATAACGGCGATTGCAGACAACAGCGCCCGCGACGCGCCCCACATGACCTCTCCCATCACGATGTCCTCGGGCCCCAGCGGCGTGAACAGCATCGACTCGTAAATGTTGTGCGTCTCCATCCGCATGTACGCGCCGTATGAGGCGTCGAAGGTCGAGTGGAACATGGCATAGGAGGCGATGACGCCCGGCGCGAGGAAATGCGGGTAGCTGATGCCCTCGCCAAGGTTGGAGATGTACGCGCCCAGTCCGAAGCCCACGCCAATGAGCAGCACGAACGGCTCCACCGCCAGCCCGCCCACCTCGAAGCGCCACGCGCGGCGGAAGGCGTCAAGGTTGCGCTGCCACACGCGGAAACCGCCCCATAAGGGGGTTCGCTGAACCATGGTCGTCATCGTCGCTAATGTCGTCATCTTACTGAAAGAAATGCCTTCAACAGGATGAATAGGATCAACAAGTTATATCCTATCTATCCTCTAAATCTTGTTAGCTCATTATCCTTCGCGCAGCCCACGACCCGTGAGGCGCAGAAACAGGTCTTCGAGGTTGCCGGGGCGTTGTATTATCTCGTATCCGTTCAGGCTGGCATTGTCTCGCAGCCCCGCGCCGTTGTCTCCGTAGAAGTACAGCGAATCACCGCCGTACTCGAACTCCATGCCCTCGCTCGTGAGGCTTTGTACCACGCCCGCCATGTGGATCGGGTTGACCCGCAACTCCACAACCTGGTCGCCGACATGTTCATGAACGAGAGAGCGGGGAGCTCCCTCCACCAGCACGTTCCCCTGGTCGATCACCACCAGCCTGTCGCACAAGTGCGCCGCTTCGTCCATGTAATGCGTGGTCAGCAGTATCGTAATCCCCCGCGACTTGAGCATCGCCAGCTTGTCCCACACAAGCAGCCGCGCCTGCGGGTCCAGCCCTGTGGTCGGCTCATCGAGCACAAGAATCCGGGGGTCGTGAAGCATTGCCCGCGCGATGAGCAGCCTCCGCCGCATACCACCCGATAGCTCGTCTATCGGGTGGTGCGCCTTCTCTTCCAGTTGAAACTGCCTCAGCGACTCCCATGCGCGTTCTTGAGCAAGTTTGCGGGGCATGTTGAAGTAGCGGCAGTATGTCAGCAGGTTCTGCAACACGCTCAGATCTGGGTCGAGGCTGTCCGACTGCGACACGATGCCCAACTCATACTTGATTTTGCGCTGGTCCCGGCGCACATCCATCCCGTGAACCACCAGCTCCCCGCCATTTACGGGTGAGACGCACGACATCATCTTCATTGTCGAGGTCTTGCCCGCCCCATTGGGTCCGAGGAAGCCGAAACACTCACCCTCTAATATGTCGAAATTGATGCTGTTGACGGCTGTGAGTTCGCCGTATCGTTTAATGAGGTTTCGCGCCCGAACCGCGACTCTGTAATTTCCCTGCAATGGGTCCCGCCTTATGCTGAATTTGCTCGCTCTGCCTAAAGAACGCACCCAACCATTCTATCAACTATTGGGCCCGTGAGTACGATTCACACCGTCGTTCAATTCGGTGGATCGCCATTTCCGTGAGCGCTGCCAGACTCGCCGTCAGGCAGCAATTCCCGCAGCGGCACTATCTGTATATGCGTCTCGCCGTGGTGACGCTGGCGCAGAATGAGACAGCCCGCCTTGACCTCCGCCATCTTGAGGCCGTCATGCTCGCAGCGTATCGCTTCTGTCTTGTCTGATTTCATTGGAGCGCTCCTATAAATCAATGTTGAATCTGACAGGGTACGCAGGACGGAAAAGGAGAAAGTCCCTTCGCCAACGGAGGTGGGTCTGGTTGGGGCAACCGACCACCCAACTAACTGACACACCGAACTACCGACTAACCCGCAATCGGCGGCAGGTTCATCTCGCGTCGCACCTCGTCTATCGTCATAATGCCCGCCTCCACATAGATGCGGCGGCGCTTCGCCTTGTTCTCCTCACTCTCCTTCAGCGCCTCCACGCCGCTCAGGTCGAACTCCACCGTCAGCGAGTTGTCGCCAAAGTGCGGAAGCAAGTGCTGGCGCAGCGATTCTTGATAGAAGGCGAGCTGAGCCGCGATGGTGTCCTCCCAGAACAGCCGACGCGCCGTGCTGAAATTCGAGAAGGTCGTGTTCTCCAGGTCCCCGATCATCACCTTCGGCACTCCGAACACCCGCGTAACATCCTCCAGGCTCCAGCGCAGGCTCTCGATGTACTCCATGTCGCGCGGGCTGAACCCCAGATTGCTCGCCTTCATGCCCGGACTCAGCAGCGCGGGCCTGCGCATCTTCTCTACACCCTGAAAGCGAGACTCCCAGCGCGCGTAGAATTCGCTTACATCGGCATCTGTCGGAAAGCCCTCCGTCTCGATTATCAGCCCCGGCGTGCTGTCGTTCTGCAGCAGCTTGCGATTCGCCCGCAGCGCGTCCATGCCCATGTCGGCAGATTGGCGTAGCGGCGCAATCGGCGACAGCCCCGCGTACTCGTCCAGCGGGTTGAAGTAGCGCATCCACACCACGTCATCCGGCAGATACGGCACAAGCTCGCTGCCCGCGCCCACATACACGAAGCCCTTGATGTACCGTTGCGCGTCCGGTATTGGGCGCATCTTGTCCGGACGCAGCGGCCAGATCTCGGCGATGTTGCCATTCTCATCCCGCTCCAGCGCCCAGAACGCCGCGCCCCACAGCGACAGGTATGTCTCCGTTGCCCGCCACAGGTCGCTGCGACTCCAGAACGGATTCGGCGAATCCAGCAGCCTCTGGAGTGGATGATCGGCTCCGACTAGCTCGCCGCCGGCCCTGGAGTTCACGCCATCCATGCGCTGCCGTGATGCAGGAATGCGCCGCAGCACACGCAAAGGCAGCCGCGCAATCGCGTCCTGCCTCACCTTGATTGCCGCGTACACGACAGCCGAGCGCGGGTAGTATTCTCCGTATGCCGTCTGCGCCCAACCCGCCGCGCCGCCGCTCGCCAGGTCTTCAAGGCCCTGCGAGAAGGCGCCATCGAAGTTCGCGCCTCCGAACCCACGTCTCGTGGAATGCCGCTGCCTCAGCGCAGACGAGAATGCTCTTATCCCCCGTACTATGTTCAATTCATTCCTCCCATTCATCCTGCGCGTCCTAGGTTCTGTTGACATTTAATACACAAAGCGTTTTGGACCTGAAAAGCAGGTTTATTCTGTCATTCCGAACGGAGTGTCCCTTCCCTGTCATTCTGAATGGAGCGGAGCGGAGTGAAGAATCTAAAATCGTTGCACATACGCCATTCACAGTCTTCAGATTCCTCGCTTCACTCGGAATGACAGGGGAGAATTGGGAAATTTCCACACAACCTAGTCTTACTGCCCTCTTATAAATAGACCTACACCCACAACTTGAACGCGCGTCCCTTTGCGTGGAGCGGCGCGAATGTCATTGCGAGCGCGTCCGCCTCGTCGGGCGAATCTTTCAACTCCTGCTTGCTCTGAAGCTTGATCCGCCCTTTGCTGTCCAGTCCGTATGCGCGGCTGCTCACCTGTCCGATGAGATTGTCGTCGTTCTCCGTGTCGAGCATCCCGTCAAAGTAGTATTCGCGCATCGCCCACCAGACCTCCGCATTCCGGTTGCTGAATCGGTCGGCGCGCTTGGCGATGTTGCCCCCATTGAAGTCCTCGATGCGCGCAGTGGCAAGCCCGACCTCGCGCACCCTGTCGGTTACGCCCCCACCGATGCCCACATCATCTATCACCAGCACATCCACGCGGTTCGCGTCGCAGTAGGACTTCAGAATGCCGGACACTTCCATCGTGTCGTAGCCGCGAACTCGCCGCACGATACGCGCCACTCCCTCCCTGCCGCCGCATCACGACCGTATGATCATGCCCCTTGCGAGCCACATCGCACGCCACGATGACCTCGCCCTCAGGTTCAAGCTCCCGCTCAACGGCGGCCTTTGCGATGCTCAAGGGCACCACCATCTCGTCAGGGTTCTCCGAAAACTGCCCCAGCACCGAGCCGATGTACATCGCAGTATCTTCGCCCCAGTCCTGCTTGCGGTCTTCCATATCCTCCAGTGTTATCATCCCCGGAATGACGATCCGACCCTGCTTGATGTTGGGCGTATCATCCGCGCCGATCTGCACCGTCTCCCACAGGTGGCGATGCCGGTGATGCGAGTCGTAGAAGACGCCGTTGTTGATGAAAGGGTTGCCAGTCAGAAGCAGCAGCGAAGGGTTGAGCCGCTTCACCGCGTTGATATAATCGGGAGGCACGGCGTGCGCCTCGGTTACCACCGCAAGCAGGTGGGGAGAGTGATAGCCCAGAATCTTGTGCGGCGAGTTAGTAGTGAAGCCAACGGCGAAAGTCTGCTCATCTATATCGTAGCGATTCTTGAGCATCTTGCCCGGAAACTTCTCGGCAGCCTTCCCGTATGCGAACTGCACCTCGTTCCAGACAATGTCCTCCACCTGCCGCAGCGTGGGTCCCGTAACGACCGCCTTTGCGGGAGAGTACCTATGCACCCACCACAAGACGACTCGCGCCGCAGTCCAGTCCTTCCCTGAACCGTTGCAGCCCACAACCGATACGCGGCGCGCCTCCGAGTCCACCGCCCGTAGAATATCCTGCTGCTTGCCGTAAGGCTCTTCCCCAAGCGCATCTTTCACGAACTCCAGTGCCGACATGCCTGCGAACTCGCCGGCAGACTCCACGTCATTCCCGTCTCCCTCATGCTCGCCAAACCGGTCGTCCTGCCAATCGCCCAACCAGTCAAAATAGTTTATGTATCCGTTGTTCGACAATGGTCTAACTCCGATCTCTCAGATAGCCGGCTCCGTTAACGCCGACCGAGACTAAAACTTTGGCAAAAGATAAGGGACGAACCCCTGCGGGTCCGTCCCCTGATGCTCACCAGAATAAAACATATATTCTTATGTGTCAAGACTGCATTTGCTACAAAGGCTTGCCTCTGGTACATTTGAAATACATTACTTTTGATTTACAAATGGACAGGAAGAGTTTACAAAAGGAGGTAAGGCATGCCTCAAGAGCTTAGCTTGCAGATGGTTACGCGGGACGATGTAGTGCGCATAAAGCGCTGGCTCGAAGACGAAGAGGTCTCGGAATCTTGGTTCGGACGCTATGCCTACGGCGACCCGGCGCACCTCGGCTACCATCCCAACGAGATGGACGAGGTCTCGGACGAAGAGTGGGATGCGGTGTTTGACAACCCCGAGCACCGCATGCTATCGATATACAGCCCGGAGGCCGGGCACATCGGCGAGGTTCACTTGGCAATAGAGGAATCACTTGGCGATGGACAGCTCTCCATCCTGATAGGGCGCAAGGACCTTTGGCATCACGGATATGGCTCGGCTGCCGCTCGGCGCACCCTCGAAACCGCGTTCACCGAGTACGGTCTTTACCGCGTCTGGGTGGACATACCGGAGTACAACACCGCAGCCCGCAGCATGTTCTCGCACCTGGGCTTCATGCACGAAGGCACACTGCGCCAGAGCCGCCCTCACGAGGGTTCGCGCTTCGACTCCGTCATTATGGGGCTGCTGGCGAACGAGTATGTGCCCATCGACGAAGCCGCCATTCAGGAAATCCCCCGCGTCTAAAAATCTTGATAAGTTGGACAGGGTGGAAAGGGTCTTCGACGCCCTGCCTATCCTGTCCATTGTGTGTCTGCTTTCATGAGGTGAAGTGAGTGCTGTACGAAGCGCAGTCGGGCAACCTGACGCTGGTCGCCAGCGGCGACACCATGATTACCCGCAAGCTGTCGGTCTTCCGTGAGGACGGCTTCGTCCGTCTGCAAAAGCTGTTCCGAGATGCCGATGTCGGCTTCACCAACCTCGAAATGCTCATGCACGACTACGAGCACTCGCCCGGAATGGCTGGCGGCACATTCACCGCGTCCGACCCCAAGAACCTTCAGGAACTGGAGTGGATGGGCGTCAACCTAGTCTCCTGCGCCAACAACCATAGCTACGACTACGGCGAAGGCGGCGTCCTCACGAACCTCAAGCACCTGCACCACTCCGACCTTGTCCACGCGGGCACCGGCCGCAACCTCAGCGAAGCCCGCGCCCCCGCATACATGGATACGCCGAACGGCCGCGTTGCCCTCATATCCGCTTCCTCGACATTCGCCGAAGCAGGGCGCGCGCTTGAGCAGCGTCCCGACATCAACGGGCGACCCGGTCTGAACCCTCTCCGCTTCAACACCACGCACGTCGTTGACCGCCCCGCATTCGACGCCCTTCGCCGCGTCAACACCAAGCTCGGGCTGGAGGCGCAGCGCAACGCCCTCCGCAACTTTCGGCACCCCGGCGCAGTCTCAGACGACAGCGACACACGCTTCGTCTTCTTGGACGAGGTCTTCGCTCTCGGCGAGGAGTTCAGTGTCAGCACACAGCTCGACAGGCGCGATCTGACGGACAACATCAAGTGGGTGCGGGATGCGCGGCGCATGGCGGATTGGGTGATGGTCTCCGTACACTGCCACGAGAGCGGCGCGCACCGCGACGAGCCGCCACAGTTCCTGGTGGACTTCGCGCACGCCTGCATCGACGAGGGCGCGGACATGTTCATCGGGCACGGTCCCCATGTAACGCGCGGCATCGAGATTTACAAAGACAGACCCATCATGTACAGCCTCGGCAACTTCATCTTCCAGAACGACACCGTACGCTGGCAGCCGTCCTACAACTACGAGACCGTAAAGCTGGATGCTGACGCGACGCCCGCAGACTTCTACGACGCCCGCAGCGACCACGACAAGCGCGGCTTCCCCGCCGACGCCCTCTACTGGGAGAGCGTAGTCGCCCGCTGCGAGTTTAAGCGCGAGTCTCTGCTCGGCATCACCCTTCACCCCATCGATCTGGGACACGGCAAAAAACGCTCCCAGCGCGGCAGACCCCTGCTCGCAGACTCTGCGGTCAGCCGCCGCGCTCTGGAACGCATCAAGCGCCTCTCCAAACCCCTCGGCACCGACATCCGCATCGAGCGCGGCATCGGCAAAGTCCGGCTTTAAGTGGACGTTGATTGGGATGAAAGAGAGAATGTTCTGCGCCACGTTCTGACATAGATCCTATTGCATACGCCTAACGGCCGCGTTGCTCTAAATGACAAAAGAAACACGAGACAGGACGAAATGTCCACAGAACCCAGCTGCTTGCCGTTGACTAGACTTCCTTACCCATTTACAATATCGGTAAGGAGATGCCCATGATCGTCAAGATTACTTCAAAGCGACAAGTTACATTCCCCGCCAGAGTATTGGATGAATTGGGGGTAGAGCCGGGCGACCAGCTTGAATTGATGGAAACCGATGAAGGTTTTCTCCTCAAGCCCCGCAAAATAGACCTGTCTAAGTTAGCTCTGCTTAAAGACAAGATTCCGCCCGACCACGTGCCTTTCGATATCGAGATTTTCAGGACGCCAGCCTTATGACCATGCGCTACGGGATTGACACTTCGGTACTCATGCGCTTAATTACGGGTCAACCTGCTGAGGCTTTCGAGTATTGTGTGAGTCGATTGAGTGCATTGGTAGAGGGAGGCGCAGAGATACTCGCTTCGAACCAGGTCATTGGAGAAGCGTATGTAGCGGTTCAGCATCACTACGGCGTATCACGGCAAGACGCCCGTGATGCGCTGGTAAACGCGCTGCAAAGTGGCCTAGTGTCACCGCTTAACGGGCAACCTGTGTTAGGTGCGCTTAGTGCGTCTGGCCACCCTGGATTGTTTGATCGCCTCATAGCAGACGACTATTCTCGCGCCGGATTGAAGGCATTGACATTGGACAGAAGAATGGCTAGGCTGCCAGATTCACAACATTTATAAGCAAGAATCTTTTCAATTCTAATAGGATGGTACGAAACCTTGACCCTCTACCTCACGGAAAGCGAAGTCAACCAAGTCCTGACAATGGAACTCGCTCTTGAGACCGTTGAACAGGCATTCCGCCTGCTCTCCGACGGCGGGGCGACCAACCCCCCGCGTTCACGCATTCGTCTCCCCGACGGCGGCCTCTTCAACTTCATGTGCGCCGCAGCCCCTGGTGCAGGCGTCATGGGCTAAAGGCGTATGGCGTGGCGCCCGGCAATCCGGTCAAATTCTATGTGCAGCTCTTCAGCACCGAGACCGGCGAACTGCTTGCCCTGTTGGAAGCCGGCGACCTTGGGCAGGTCCGCACCGGCGCCGCCAGCGGCATAGCAACAAAGTACATGGCGCGCGAGGACTCCGCTACAGTCGGCGTCATAGGCTCCGGCTATCAGGCTCGCACCCAGCTTGAAGCGGTCTGCAATGTCCGCCCCATCAAGAGCGCGCGTGTCTTCAGCCGCAATCCGGAGCGCAGGGAGAGATTCGCAACAAGAATGAGCGAAAGACTCGGCATAGAGATATCCCCCGTGGACAGCGGCGAAGAATGCGTTTCGGATGCAGATGTCGTCATCACCATGACGAGCACGAATCGTCCGGTTCTCAACGGCGAATGGCTCAGCGAGGGAACGCACATCAACGCAGCAGGAGCCAACCACTGGATGCGCCGCGAACTCGACGGCGACGCAGTACGCCGCTCCGACATCATCGTCACCGACGACATCGAGCAGGCGAAGATGGAATGCGGTGACCTCATCTACCCAGCCGAACTCGGCTCAATTCGTTGGGAACAGGTCAGGAGCCTCGCCGATGTCGTAGGTGGATCAGCCCCGGGGCGCCGCACGGACTCCGACATCACCCTCTTCGAGTCGCAGGGCCTAGCCGTGCAAGACATCACCACAGGCATCCGCGTATATCAACTCGCCCTGGAACAAGGCATCGGAAGCGAGCTGCCTTAATTCACACCCAGGAACTGCTGGAGCGGATTCGTCGGCTGCGGCGACGGCGTTATCGCCGTGGAGATGCCAAGCTGCTGGATTATCCACGCATAGATATCCGAGTTGAACACCGCGTACACATCATGCTCGCGGCGCTGTTCGTTAATCCAGTGTTCTAGCGCGCGCGTCTTCAGCGCCTCGTGATTGACGGGCGCAAGCTCACGCAGTTCGTCAATCTCCGAGACCATGAACACAAACGCCTGCTGCCGCTGGTCCCGGTTCGGGATAGGATCGCTTAGCTTGCCCACTTCAACACGGGCGATCACATCATCGTAGTCTTCGATTACGCCAAGAGGAAGCCAACCTACCTCGCCGCCGCGCCGCACAAGCTCCGGCACTTCCCGTGAGAACTCACGCGTAATCGCCTTGAACGCCTCATGTAGCAGCCGCGGGTCGGTGCTGTTCTTCACATAGTCGTTATACTTCGTAATCATGATGTCTATCTCGTCCTCTTGACTCACGGCGAGCCGATAGACATGGTACTGCTTGGCGACAGCCGGCACGCTCTCGCCCACATACTGCCGCACCTTCTCCCGCAGCAGCGAGCGTCGCACAATATCGCGGTGCTCATCCTCGCTAATCTGTGAGGAGTTCAGGAAATTCCCGTATAGCTCCTTAAACTCGCGGTCGACCTGCTCATCCGACTTGCCCGCAAGACTTCCGCCCGACTGGAAGATGATAGTCCCTTGAATCTGCTGGTCAACCTCTTCGTCCGACACCGTAATGCCGATACTCGGCGCGGACTGGGAAATAATCTCGTTCTCCACAATGAGCTGCAACGCCTGGAAAATGTCGCTGCCCGTGTCTATGCGCTGCCCCGAGTCTTCCAGCAGCCGCTGCCGTATCCGCAGCATCTTCACCATATCGCCGCGCGTGTAGATAACATCGTTCACGCTCACCACACGCTCCTGCGGCGGTCGCACGAAGATAAACACATACCCCGCGAAAAGAATTCCCACCACGATGAGCACCAATACCCCTATGACGCCGAATGCAACTCGGCGCCTTCGCTGTATCTGCTGTATGCGGATGCTCTCGCGCCTGCGGTCTGTCAGACCTGCTTCGCTCTGTTCTTGAGCCGGATCATTTACCAATTGTCAGATCCCCGTATTCTCGATAGTTACGAGCAACAAAACATGGATGTACAAGAACGCATAGGATATATCACAAATAGCATATCCTGTTTGCCCTGTAAATCCATGTCAGTTTCCCGAATGGTGTCAAGACGCTACGCAGCGTAGCCGCCGCCGGGCATTCTGTGATCCGGGCTGAAAGGGATAAGCGCAAGTATGCGCGCGCGCTTGATCGCCCGCGACAACGCGCGCTGGTGCTTCGAGCACACGCCCGTCTTGCGCCGAGCCTCCATCTTGGAGCGGTCCGATATGAAGCGCCTCAGCCTGCCCACATCCTTGTAGTCGATGTGCTTCACCTTGTCCACGCAGAAGGTGCAAATCTTGCGCCGCGCATAAAAGCGAGGCCTGCCGCGTCTGCGCTGAAAGCCACCCTGGCCTCCGCCTTGTCCTCCACCACCCACCACCGCCTCTGAACGGCGGTCTTCCTCCGCCTGCTGCCGGTCTCGGACCGCCGGGCCCTGCCGGGCGTGGACCCGGACTTGCCGGTCGTTCTGTCGTCATGAGCCTTACCTCGTGAGAGTGCCTTATTTATTTCAGCCAGTTGATGTGTGTTAGTAGTAAGATTGCCAATTGAATTCGCACTGTCTGGATTTTCCCTAGCCGCCGATGCACCCTTGCACTAGCAGCGCTCCTACGACCGCAATTGAGCCGCCGATGATGGCGTAGAACAGCCTATCGATTCGAGCGTTAAGAGCATCTACGCGAGAATGCATAGCATCTTCAAGCCTGTCTATACGAGCGCTAAGTTCGTTTATGGTGCCGGTTTCCGTAGTCAATGCCATGCCTTTAATTGATTATGCAGTGTGAAATTTACCACGGCAAATCATCCGCATCCGACGGCTCTTCCGGCCCCCCGTATCCGCCATCTGCGCCGTATCCGCCGCCGCCACTCGGCTCACCCGGCGGTCCGCCATAGCCACTGCCACCTTGACGTCGGTCAAGAAACTGAACGGTGTTTGCAATTATCTCATTCCTAAAGCGAGTCTGCCCATCCTGTCCTACCCAAGAGTTGCTTCTGAGCCTACCCTCTACATAGATCTTCATACCTCTGGTCACATAATTGTTGCAAGTTTCGGCAAGACGGTTCCACGCTACAACGTTAAACCATTCGGTCTCTTCTTGACGTTCACCACCAGCCGGAGTGTAGTACCTATTAACGGCGAGGCTGAACGATGTTACCGCACTACCGTTAGGCGTGTAGCGCATCTCCGGGTCCCTGCCCACATTGCCTATCACCAGCATCTTGTTAAGCATAGATATAGCCCTCTTGCTTCATTGGGTCTAATTATGCGAGTTAATCTATGGTTTTGGTAACGAGATGTCTGATTACATCCTCGGATGTGGTGAGGCTGCGCTCCAGCTCCAGCACATCGGATGCGTCCAGGCTGAACCGCGCGAGCACATAGATGCCTTCCATGAACTTGTTGATGGCATACGCAAGCCGCCGCAAGCCCCACACTTCAGGTTCGCCGAAGGTGCCGCCGCGTTCGGTCACGAATGAGCTGATGCGCTCTATCGCCGCCTCGACCTCGCCCTCGTTCGCCTCAGGCGTCAATATGAATACAATCTCGTAGTCCCGTAGTCGCTGAGCTACCACTCTATGCTCCTGTAAATCGTACATCCCTGCAAAAAATCACGTAAGCGCCATTATATCACGATTGCCCAAAACCGACATGAATTGCACATCGCATAGTAGCCTCACAAAACGTGGGTTCGCAAAGGGCGGAGCCAGTTCATTCTGAGTCGCCCAAACACATCAATCCTTCCGCGCCACCACTCTGCATCCGCCCGTCGCCGCAATCGTCCCCGGCTGTGCCCCCCACTCCCGCATCTCAGCGCACATCGCGTCCAATTCGTCCCGCGTGGTCAAGCCCTCTTCGATTACGCGATCGAACAATGGCAGGTTCTCTATCCACTCTGCCCAGCCGTTCACCATGGCATTCCCGGGTTCGGGTGTATATGCGCCGCTTAACGCGATTAGCACGTCAACAACGTTCAGACCCGCCTCGCCCAGCATGCTAGGGAGATTCCTCCCGCCATTCATCGTGCCGCCTTGCAAGTTGAAGCCGCTCTCGAACAGCTCGAAGAAACGATTGACTGCACCGCACGACGGCGCAATCATGTGTGCGGCCCAGTCCGTGCGCGTGATCCCCACGACGCCGCCCCTCTTGACCACACGCCCCAGCTCGCTCATCGCCTTCACCGGCTCACCCAGATGCTCCGTCACCGCGCACGACAGCACCGCATCGAATGTGTTGTCCTCGAAAGGCAGGTCAAGGATGTTGCCGACCTGAAAACTCAGGTTGTCGAGGTTCGCGCCCTCCGCGAGCGCGGCGGCGCGCTCGACCATGCCCGGCTCCAGGTCGCAGCCTATAACTTTGCCCGGCGCCACGATCTGAGCGATCCCCTGCGTTATCGTCCCCGGCCCGCAGCCGCAGTCGAGCACGCTCATGCCCGGGCTTCAGGTGCGGCAGGAAAAATCCGACAACGCTCTCGGCCCCACGCCCCGCGTACTGGTCCTGTATCACACCAACATTATAGCCGTAGAACGGACTATCATTGTGCATCGGCATCTCTGTCATTGTTTCACTCCTTTGGTTTAATGTTCAGTTGTCTGCACGTTATTTTCTCAAGTTCTCGAACAATCCTACTGCGGACATCGCTTCGGCGCACCCTTCATCCCTGATCCACTCCCTCAACTCCTCAAGTTCGTCGGCCGTGTAAGTGCGTCCATAATGTTTTGTGTCCCAATTTGCAACTCGCTTCTCATAGTACATCCACGATAAGCAATACTTGTAATCTGGAATCTCCTCGCCGCTTTTGAGAAGCGCATCAATATCTGCTATCGATTCTCGCACATCGGATAGTGCAAATACGGATTGAGATGGGTGCTCTGGATACGGACCGGTTGTAAAATGCCTCTCATCTGAAAGAGCGTCGTCCTCGCTGACGGATGAGACCGATGGCATCCATGCGGCCGCGTACGGTGATCGGTGCCGCCCTTCTCCAATGAAGGCATACTCGTTGCGTTGCGCCTCACCCGTTCCCGGCACTGCGGACGGGAATCGCTTATCCTGCAACAGGAAGATAAGCCATTCCTCGCCGTACAGAGAGTTGTCCCCTAGTTCCCACATCTGAAGGCACAGCCCGTTCGTCCTTAGTTCCTCGAAGGGAGGCTTATCACAGTCCAAATCGCCCTCAATGTCCTTACTCATATGGTTGGTCATCCTTTCGGCAGAGGAGAGCGCGAGCTTTAGCACGGAGTCCTCGCTATTGTCGGTAGGATTGCCGAAAAAACTTGTCGCTACAACTATTTCGTCACTGCCATTCCCCTTTCAGATACTCCGAAACGTCATAAATGAACTCAACCACTGGTCGATAGTACCGGTCACCTCCTCGCTCGTGCGAATATGCTGCCCCGACAAATGCAGATCGCAGCCGCGCCCTGGCAACAGTATCTGATTCTATGATTCTTTCCTCCGGAGACCAGGGTCCGTGGTATAGGGATACGATTATCGGATTCGTCTCCTGGGTGCTGATGTCATCTTCGTCTTTGGCCGCCTGTCTCGGCGTGGATTGTGTCGGGGCGGGTACGATTGCATCACCACTTCCCATTCGCGGTGGCGGAGTGGACGCAATTGCCTCGCTGCGGTTCGCCTCCCTCGTTCGGATTGGCGTAGCTCTTTCGCCATCAGCCATCGCCGGCGTCTGAGCAGCCGTAGCCTGTCCTGCCGGCTGAGACTGATCGCATGCCGCCATAAGCATCGAGCACACCACCAGCGCCACCAGAACACTGCGAGACCGTCTCACTCTGGCCTCCAGTCCCGACGAACTGACCGACCGACACACCAATGAACTAAATCAGGCTATACCCGCTGCCCTCGCGTCCGGCGGGCGTACCGGTACCCCGCGCCTCATCGATCCAGCCATATTCTTTGAGTATCTGCTGGCTGTATGTAACCCACCCCGTAACTTCGTCCAGCGGCTCGGTCGCAAGCAGCAGCGAAGCCTTCGCCATAAGCTCCGGGTGCTCGCCGCGCGGGTCATCTACGCCGCTCACGAGGTTGTGGAAAATCGTACCCGGCGTCGGCACCACCTGCGACGGCGACAAGGCGGTTACCGATATGCCGTACTGATAGACTTCCTGCGCCAGTCCCTGGGAGTAGCGTTCCAGCGCAGCCTTCTCCGCGCCGTAGCATGTCCCGCCGCTGTTCGGTGGCACATTCTGGTACGGTCCCCGTCCCGGCCCAATCGCCGCGCCCGACGAGATATTCACGATGCTGCCGCTGCCTCTGGGTATCATGTCCTCCAGCACAAGCTGGCTCAGAATGAACGGACCGTGGAAGTTCACCGCCCACGAGCGCATCCAGCGGTTCAGTGGATAGTCCTTCACAGGAATGAAGTACGTGAGCGCCGCATTGTTCACGAGCACATCAACCGGCCCGTAGGTGTCGTGCGCCGCCTGCACCAGCGCCTCGCAGTCCTCAGGCAGCGATATATTCGCCGCCGCCGCAGTCGCCTCGCCGCCCGCATCCCGTATCTCCTGGATCGTCGTATTCAGCGACCCCTCCAGCGGATGCGTCCCCTCTTCCACCGTCCGCGCCGCGCAGATGACCTTACCGCCCTCCGCCGCAAACAGCATGCCGCAATATCCTTGCCAATGCCCCGGCTCGCGCCCGTAACAATAACTACCTTGTCATCAAGTCTGCCCATGTAAGTCCTCCGTTTTGCTCATTCTGTCTGCTGCTGAGATGTATCACTCTATCTATTCTATCGTTGTGGTCACCAGCCTTATGCTCCTATCAGAGAGCGTACGTGTTGCTTGATAAAGTTGAACTGATTGGCTTCAAGGCCGCGAACCTCCTCTGCAGAGAAGGACATTGACTCATAACGCGCGTTTATGCTCAACCTGTACAAGTACGAATATGCAGGCCAAATCTCTCTGAATTCTTCTGTTTCACGAATGTACCTATTGCGCTGCGAATGGTTATCGGAGTAGCCGACCTTCCCGCATATCCCTGTATGCTTCTATGTGATGCAAGACAGAGTAAAATAAGACGACAATCTCCCATTCGGTGTACTCTGGTTCAGATGTATGAAGTTGGCATATTTCCCTATACAGGCTTTCATTCCGCTCTGCCTGTCTTTAAATGCTCAAATGCGCTAGGCATCGGCACGTTTCCACAACAATTCGGCTTCCTCTGGCACTATGTGTTCCAACAAAGCGCCCTCACGCAGTTCATTCAAATTGATTATCCGAAAGTCGAACAGCGCTACCTTCTGAAATACAAGTGCATCCCCGATTGCCTCGTGGACGGGTTTCTCCAATTCGAAATCCATTCTGGGCCCATCGATTATCACCCAAGCAGTTACACCGCCCATTTCGTACGTGAAGCGCACCTCTTGAACTATATCCACTTCACGCAGGCGTTCAGCGAAAAACCGAATTACGCGATCCGCTTCCTCGCGCAACCACACCGGATCCGCCGTATGTATGCTGTACTTTTGGGGCGACTTCTGCTGTGTCATTGAGCCCACCTCCATCCAAACCGGCCCCCTACACCCCCAGCTTCACCGCCAGGTCATTGAAGTCCGTCGCGTACACATCCAGCCAGTCCTCGTTCGTCGTGTCAATCTCGACATCCGGCCCATGCTCCCCCGGTCGCGGCACGAATGCTGTCCTCAGCCCCGCCTCCTGCGCCGACTTCAGGTCGAACTTGTGCGCCGCAACCATCATCACCTGATCGTTCGGCAGTCCCAGCAGCTTCGCCGCGCCCTGATACACCTTAGGGTCGCGCTTGTACCGCTTGAACAGCTCCGCCGACAGGATGCAGTCCCACGGCAGCCCGCCCCACTTCGCCATATTCGTCAGCAGCGCAACATTGCCGTTCGACAGCGTGGTGATGACATACCCCTTCTTCAGCCGCGTCAGTCCCGGCGCAGAGTCCGGCCACGGGTCGAGCCTATGCCACGCCTTGTTGAAATCTTGCTTCTCATCCTCTGACAGCCCCGTAATCCCGAACTCTTCCAGCAACTCGTCCAGAATCATGCGATGCAAAGTGTCGATGTTCGTCCACGGCAGATCGCCGGTTCTCACCCGCTCCATAGACGGGCCATAGCCGCCGCGCCACCTGTCCGCAAACACGGGCCAGTCCACATCCAGCCCCTTCGCCTTCGCCAACTTCACACCCTCGCGTATGATGCTGTCGCGCCAGTTCACCACAGTGCCGAAAACATCGAAAGTTAGCGCCTTTACCTGTGAGATGTCAGAATTACCCATAATAAGTCGCAAGCCTCCCTGCCTGTTTTTTGCCGCCAATGCCTTTAATTCCACCCGAATGTTACGGGGATGCGTGTGTACTGTCAAACAGAATTTGCCACCGTTTCCACGAATCTGGCTCAGCCACAAGCGGAGCCCGACTCGTAGAATTCAGCCTGAAATAGAGGGCTGGACGACACCTTAGGGTTGTGTTAATGTAGCCGTAACAATCGAATATGCGCATGGGGGGAGCTTGGTTTGCCAGGCTGAGAGGCTCCGACCAATTCGGAGCGACCCCAATAACCTGATCTGGGTAATTCCAGCGTAGGGATGTTGGTTCTCAAAGTAAATCGCAAAGGCTGCCCCAGATGTTGGGGTGGCTTTTTTTGTGCCCCACTTCATGCGCCTTATGACACATGGTTTGAGGAGGGCAAAATGGATAATGGGCTACTAGCGGTTGTAATCACCATTGTGACCGCAGGCATATTCCTCGCGCTTGGAGTCTGGTATGTCGGACGTCAGCGCATAACCGTAGAGGACTACATCGTGTCGCGCAACACGGCAGGCACCGGGCTTGCCACCGCAACACTCGTCGCCGGCGCTCTCGGTGCCTGGATTCTGTTCAGCCCCGCGGAAACGGGCACTTGGGCAGGAATCACCGGCCTCATCGGGTACGGTATCGGCTCTGCCCTCCCGCTCGCCGCGTTCGTCCTGCTCGGCGCGCGAATGCGACGCCTTATGCCGCACGGACACTCGATAACTGAGTATACTTGGCATCGCTTCGGACCTATGATGTACTACCTCACGCTCGCCGTTGTCATCTTCTACATGCTGGTGTTCCTCACGGCAGAGCTGACCGGCATCGCACAGGCGGTCAATCTCATCGGTGGGCACGCCCCTTGTGGTTACGGCGCTCATCGTCGGCGTGCTCACCGTGGCGTACACCGCATACGGTGGCATGCGAGCATCGCTCTTCACCGACAGAATTCAGTTCTATGTCATCATCCCGCTGCTGGTGGTAGTCATCCTAGCAGGCATATTCGCCTTCGGCGGCGGCACGCTGGGCGAGACGCTGGAAAGCAGCCCTGAACTGCTGTCTCTGACGCACATGCCCGGCATCGAGTTCGGCGCGGTGCTGATAATCGCCATCTTCGCCGCCGAGAGTTCAATCAGGGTTCGTGGCAGCGTATCTATACGGTGCGTGACATCCCCACACTTCGGCGCGGCTACCTAATTGCGGGGATTGTGGTGCTGCCCGTCATATTCCTGACTGGCCTGTTCGGCATCATGGCGGTCAGCAAGGGACTCGCGGAAGACCCGTCGGTCGCCATGTTCTCCTTCATCGTATCCGTTATGCCGATGTGGGCGATCGTAGCGGTGCTTGTTCTCGCTATGGTGCTGGTCATGAGCAGCATGGACACGCTCCTCAACGGCATAGCGAGCGCGATAACGACTGAGATTTCGCGCTATGGCAAGCGTGCATCCCTGCTCACACACTCGCGCATAGTCACGGCAGCGCTCATCGTAATTCCCATTGTCATCGCATCGCAAGGCTTCAGCGTGCTCTACCTGTTCCTGATAGCCGACCTTGTGTGCGCCGCCGTGGTATTCCCGATGCTGTTCGGGCTATACGCGCGCAACTTCAGCGGTACGGCTGCGTTTGTGAGCGGCATAATCGGGCTTGTAGTTGGCGCGCTCTTCTTCCCGGGTCCCGACTTCGCCGGCTGGAGTGGCATCCCGGGCGCGGGCAGCTTCCTATACAGCTTCGGCGCCGCGCTCGGCGTATCCGCCATAATCAGCATCATCTTCTCCCTCGTGTCCAGCAGCGAAAACGCCTACGACTTCAACCGCCTCAGCGAAGAAGTCCAGCTAATCGAAGGCTAATAACACCGGAAGTCCATTACTCCCCCTCTCCCTCTGGGAGAGGGCTGGGGTGAGGGCAAAAGACACTTTCCCCCATCCAGTGGAAAGGCTGGGATAGGTGTGACAATCCCAGCCATCTCATTCATCCATGTGAGTTAATCTGCATCGTGCGTTCCCAACCCCGTGACTAGGGCGTGTTGACATTGATACACACAGAGTTTTAGACTGAAATGTAGGCTTATTCTGTCATTCTGAACGCAGCGCAGCGGAGTGAAGAATCTAAATTCGTTGTACATACGCCATTCTCCGATTTTAGATTTCTCGCTTCACTCGAAATAACAGAAGCAATGAAAGACAACCTCAAAATGTCAACACAACCTAATACGGAGAAACCCATCATCTCCTCTTGTTGACCACCCAAGCTCTACTCCCACACCCTTCACTTCCCGAACGCCACCTTGAAGCCGTACTCAACCTCTCCCAGCGCCGACTCGTAACTGGCGATGAGCAGATAATCGCCCCCAGGGAGCTCCGGCAGTACGAAGTTATCGAGTGTCTCCCCTTCTGTCGCCACGACTCTGTGGACTTCTGCCCCTAGATGCAGCACCCGCCCCAACTTCAGGGTCGACCATTTCTCCTGTGCCGGGAACACCCGTACGCGCCTGATCATGCCCGGATTGGCGTCATCACCCAGGATGGCGACATAAAAGCGACCCGGCTCTAAATGCGCCCGCCGCAGCAAACCCTTCCCAGGCCGCAGTGTCGTCACACTTGCGGCTGGCCCCACTTACCGGCCAGCAATACGCGCCTCTCCACCCAGGATAGCCATACGGAGGCGGGGATTCCGTAAATTTCGGCCAGGTTCCCATCGCCACCCCTAGAATTGGTGGGTTACCAATGTCCTCTGCGTATGCGTCGGGCCAACCATACTCTGCTGGATCGTTGGTTCATACACTTGGTCGAGGCAACTGGGGCGGGCGACGACCTGCTCCATCACGGAACTATCCTTCAGAGCGGCTTCGAGTAGATCGCGACCTGCTCAGTCAGTAGCAGGTTCAGGACTTGTTTTGAGAGTGCCGTCTTGGTTCAGGTAGACGACTGACCCGGAACGCAGATCCGACAATATGATCGACGCTATCCATGTGGCTGGCTGATTTCCGCAGGGTATGTACCACACATGCAGATCCCCATCGAGTGCTTTTCGTGTTGTGCGCCATTTTCACGCCCGCCGGCATTCTTCTTTCCTCTAGATAGGAGTTGGTGGAGGAAGAGGTGCAACTGGCGGGAGAGGAGCGGGAGCAGGCTGCGGCCCAAACCCTAGTTGGCAGCCGACTATCACCAACGGTAGAAGCGCCAGAACCAGCCAGGCAACTGCCGTCGTTCCACTCTTTCTCCAGCGTTGCGCCATCACGACTGTGCTCCTTGAATGCCCTCAAATGCCCCATTCCTCACCAATACTAGCGCACCTCCACCTTGAACCCATACTCAACCTCGCCCTCCGCAAACTCGTAACTGGCTTTGAGCAGGTAAACGCCTTCAGGAATCTTCGGCACAACATATCTTTCGATTATCCTCGCTCCCCTTGCCTCAACTGAGTGGACTTCTGTCCCTAGATACAGCACCCGCCCAAGCTTCCAGATCGACCATTCCTCCTGTACCGTGAACATCTGTATCCGTATGAGCCTGCCCGGACTGGCATCATCGCCCAAGACGGTAAAAAGATCGCAGCACCGGTATCTTGCCATGGGCCCTGAAATAAACCTTCCAGTTTCGCGGCGTCCTCGCACTCACGGCTGCCCCCGCTTACCGGCCAGCAGTACGCGCCTATCCACCCAGGATAGACCCTCTGACCCGGCGACGTGGGCTTCCTCGCGATCGCCATCGCCACCTTAGGAATCGGTGGGTCGCCTATATCCTCTGCGTGTGGGTCGGGCCAACCATCTCGCTGCCAGACCTCTGGCTTATACACTTGTTCGGCGCAACTGGGGCGGGCGACGACTTGCTCCATCACGGAACTGTCCTTCAGCACGGCTTCGAGTGTAGCCTTCCCCTGCTCTGATTTGTATTGAGGTTTGGATCTCGTTTTGACGGTGCCGTTTCGGTTCAGGAGTATGTATGATCCGGAACGCAGGTCCGTCAATATGATCGGCGCCACCCATTCTGCTGGACGTGGAATACGCTCGCAGGGTGGTGTGTACCTCACTGCAGGTACCCGTCGATGATTTTCTGGTCGCTGTCTGTTGCCCCCATATCAGGGGCTGGTAGAGCAGGAGGCTGTGCTCCCAACCCCAACTGGCAGCCGATTGTCGCCAAAGGAAGAAGCAGCAGGATTATCCATACGGCTGGTGTAACTCGTGTCGTAGTCATGTTTATTCTTCCTCCACTGCTACCATCCGGATATCATTGAGCCGTCCTGCATGTAATAACGAGCGGAAGAGCCAAATTGTTCCATTCGTACTGGTGCGTTATGAAGGAAGCAAAGAGAAGGAAAAACTTCACGCCACCGCAAACAGCCGCGCCGCCTTGATGACCGCCACCAGCACCGGCATCATCAGGTCGCGCACAGTCCAGCGTCAGCGCCGTAACCACGATTGCGATGACCACGCTCCCAAGGATGTCCGCCGGATAATGCACGCCCACATACACACGCGAAAAGCCATACACCGCCGCCGCGATGAACAACACCGTCCCGATGCGCCGGTTCACGCACCACACGCCAGCAGCTATCGCAAACGCCACGCTGCGCTGTTCGATGGAAACGACGAGTCTGTCGGCTGATAGAGAGCAGGCTCACGCCATCCAGCCCGTCGAACGGGCGCGGCCTGAAGAACAAGGCATTGGAGATTAGCACCACGAGGCTGGACAGCGCCATCGCCGTGAGCGCGGCGAACATCCCGATCTGGTAGCGCATCCGCTCCGGCGCGTCCCTGCCGATGAACCACAGCGCGACCAGCGTCAGCCCCATGCACACCGGCACCAGGTAGTCGCTGGCGACCCAGCCCATCGCGACTCCGTCAACGGACTAGGCGACGTGTCCGAGACGTAAGGCATTTATCCAAAGAAATAGCGCTTTATCTGCGTCCGCCAGCATCTTGCCTCAGAAAACCAGTAACGATAATTGTGCGCCAGCGCCTGAACCAGTTGCCGTGCCGCATCGC